TGCCCATCTCTCCTCACAAGAGAGTTGCTCCAGACCCCTCGTTGTCTTTGTTGCCCTTTGCTGGACCCTCGCCAGCAGCTCCTTTTCTTTCTGCCCTTCCCCTCACAGGGTGCTGTGCCCAGAGCTGTGCTAAACGTGCAGATACAGCAGATTATGGGTCCACCAGCCCCGCTGCCTACAGGAGCAGGAGCCAGGCTGCAAACCCTCCCAGAGTGAGGCTCATGTGCATGGGATACAGACAGCCCCTCTGGAAGCAGCTGGCTGTCACAGCTGTCCAGCAGGCCCACAGAGGGGCCAATCCTGTGCAAACACAGAACTGCTGCTCCAGTCTGCATGGCCCCAGCTGGTGTCCACAAGCAGGAATCAAAAATGAAGCACAACTGCATGGCCAGACCAAGCTGTGCCCTGCCCATGTCATTCACCAGCTGAAATCCCAGGCATCTATTGACTCACAGCAGCTGGAATTTGGTACCAAAGAACTGCAGAGTGGTACCATTCTTGAATACGATTTAGAGTCAGATGCATTCATCTGTTTTGTTTGCAAGTGTGTCTCTCACTCAGTAACACCGAGCCTGCTGCAGAAACTTGCTGAAGCTTGTATTTGACTTTAATCTCCTGGACAGGCTTTTCTGCTGGGCTGCTTTGATGCACATCTCGTGACATCTGCTTCCAGATGCAGAATTATCCCAAGACAGGTCCCAGAGAGCAGACCTTGGAGCACTGACAAAGCGTGGGTGGTGCCCCATCTCCCCCTGGGATCTGAGCAGGCAGCAGCAGAGCCTGGCTGACCTCCGTGCTCAGTTTTTCCCTCGTTTTCAGCTTCCCCAGGCACTGGCGCAGTGGCTCGGACCTGCCCTCACCTGAGCAACCTGGGCTGAGACTCAGCTGATTTACCTTTGTGTGCACTCTGTAGGCATTGATATCTGATCTAGGCATCCAGGAAGAGCTGCTTTCAGGGCACAGCTCATCTGATCTGTTCTAGATGTCTGCTTTTTAGTCAGTCACCCCCAGTGTCTCTTTCTCCCCTGTGACAACATAGGGAGCTTGCAGGGACATGTTCAGACCAGGCATGTGCAGATGGAGCCCAGTGGGGGCTGAGCTTTGCAAAGGGCCTGTTGTGGCTGGGGGTGTCAGACACCCAACCGGCTGGGGCATGTGCAATGTGCAGTTGTGGCTGCTTGCTGTTAAAATGTTACATTATGGTGTTGCAATCTGGCTGTCATAAAATAAGCTAGCAGCCAGATTCTTTGCTCAGGAGGAGAAGGATTGCTCCCCTTGTCTGACCCTCCTTCTGTGAGGGCATCCAAACACCATGTCCTGCTCCTAGTGAACAGTCACAAAGTGGCAGCCTCCTGGGCAGACCTTCTCCATCTCTGCAGCTGAAGTTGTTCTCATGTGTAGGTCTCTTTCAGATCATGAAGAAATGTATTATATTCCTTGATATAAATGAAGCTACATTGCCAGAAGCAGAGACTTCTGATGTTTATTACAAGTGCTATTTACAATACCAGCATGAAAGCAGAGCCTTTGGAGAAAAGCACAAAAACTCCAGTAACATGATCACACATAAACTGCTTGGGGGAATTAGACCCCACCAGGAAAAGTGACCTGTGCTCTTTCCTAATCACTCTTGAAACTTTCAGAGCAATGTCAATCCACAGATCTGGAAGCACTTCACAGATGTGTAATAGGTGGAGACATGGCAATTAAAGGCTGTGGCAGATCTCACACTGATTTTTGTAGACTTCAGATAAAATTACTGCATATCATGTAATAGGCAGCTGTAGGTCAGGAGCTGTTGCCCCCAGCCAGTGTGCTTGAACCACCAGGTGCCTTTCCTCCTCTTCTAGTCCCAGCTTATCAGTGTCATCACTCTAAAATAAATGGCACCAAAGTTCACACTTTGTCTGTTCACAGAGACTAACAGAGCTGTTGAAGACTGGAGAGGCTGTTCTCATCATCTAGTCTGACCCTCTACAGCACACAGCAGCTGTTCTTGACCTCTGAAGGCTTCAAATGATGGAAAGGGCCCATGGTCTTGGCTAATTGTTCCAATAATCAAATGCTTTTATTGTGTAGAGCTGCACTTAATCTTTGCTCTCAGTCCATCTAGTGGCAATTCTAGACACTGACTCTGTGTTCTCAAAAGACTTCTGAATAAAAAAAGCACAAAAGCTCCTCTGACAATTAGAAGAGGTTTCTAACATTTAAAGTTGTACTGCACAGTGTATTATAATCTCTATTTTATGAAAAAATATATGTTGTTTTTATATTCAAAATATCTTTTCACCTATTGTTTGATAAGTAACAAGCATACATCTGGGTCAGTCAGTTCTACCTTCTCTGCTTTTGTCCTACCAAAGACAAGCCAGAGACATGAATGGATGTGCTTTGGCTCACTGAGACTGAGAATTCATTCTTGATTCCTTCACAGGAAGGAGCACTGTTAGTAGTAGAGGCAGCTGCCAGGAAAATGGTGCCTCTTTAGCATAAAGCTGTTGCTCATGTAAAACCTTGTTATTCCTTGACTTTGTAGATCCTAAGCCAGGGAAGTATTCCTATGCATGTCCAAAATAAGTTTTTATAGGAAAGATCAAGGTGAAGAATGAGTTGGAGCTGGAGATCAGCATTTTGCACCAGGAAGGGTGAAGCTGTGCTTTGTGGTCAGCACTGGTTTCCACATGTAGGAGCTGCATGGGACTCACAGGATGCTTTACCTTGCTTAAACCTGCCCCTGCAAATGCTGAGTACACCAGCTAAACACACCTCAGCTGGGTGCAGGCATTCTGGGCAGTGTTAGTGCTTGGATCTGGCATCTCTTCTATCCATGGCTCCTCTTAGTTCAGCTGTCAGCTATTCTGAGACTGGAGTATGAGAGCACCACTCCAAGAGCTGTTGCTTTTCACCCAGCTGTTGCCCAGCTGTGGGAGACCACGGCAGCAGCAGTGTTGGCCATGACATTGTGTTTGCAAACATGGAGTTCAGAACCTGCAGAACCAGGTTATGCTGCTGTTGGGTTTTTCTGTTGGCCATGACATTGTGTTTGCAAACATGGAGTTCAGAACCTGCTGTGGTACCAGGTTATGCTGCTGTTGGGTTTTTTTCCCTACGAAGGAAGGAAATAAGTTTGTGCAGTTCAGCAGCAGGAGCAGTAGTAAAGAAGGATGAGTATTCATCTGCCTCTTTGCCAGTTTTCTGGCTGAAACTATAGCCTGTCTCTCCCTTGCCTTAAAAAAAAAAAAAAAAAAAAAAAAAAAAAAAAAAAAGCTATAGAGCTACAATAATCAGAGAAATACCCAGGAAAGTAAATACAAAAACCTGTGGGTCTTCCTGTCATGAAAATAATGCAGTTAACTTCTTCAAGTAACAAAATCTAATGTCTGGAGGTTCAAGGTGTGCCTATGGGTAGATTGGTGTCAGAGTGCTAGGAAGATCAGAGTTACAGCAGCACTACCAGGTACTGCAGAGTTTCTTTATGTCACTGGGAAGCCACCTGAATAGAAACTGAATGTGCTGTATTTACAGCTAAAATATGCAAACAATGGTGGGTTGGAGCACTGAATGTGTGGCTGCCCCTGTTGGTGCTGGAGGGTCAAACAATGTTATGACAACTGCCATGGACACAGTAAAGTGATAACGTGCTCAGGGAGTACAAATCAGTCTTTCTTATCTGTATCATTGTGGTGTTCATTACACACTGGGTTTCTGATTGTGCAATGAAACAACATTTGACTGAAGATTATTTGTGTTTGTTAGGGAAGTTACTCCCAAGCCAAGCCACTCCTTTGGAGCACAGCAGAGCTACAGCACCATGAGAGCTGTTTTTGTGAAGTGTAGGATCCAGTAATTTCACTGTGGATTTCTCCATCCAGGTCCTTTGTTTTATGACAAAAACAATGTATGTGAGAGACTGAATATAATCTTCATTGACTGCCGCTGCTCAACTTAAACTGAAATTTTCTTTTACCACCCGATATCAGTCCCTTGCTGTCAAAAAACATTTTTGCAATCAGGAAAGAAAACAAGCTAAGACAAGCCATGGAGTATTAAGTCATCATTTGTAATTACTTTTCTTCAGATTAAAATAATTTTATAAAATCTTGTCGGGTTTGTTTTTTTTATATCAGGTTTTTAGACAGCACTTACATTATATATGCTCACACTCAGAAAAGATTATTTCACTCCATGTGTTTACTGTCATTATTCTTTTGAGTATATTCCACTTGATCCTGTAAAGCATTAAATGTGCCAGAGGAAATACTAAAGGTGAAGATATTGAATGCTCTTAGTGTTGCAAAAGATAAACAAGCTGAGAGTGTTGACAGCCTGAGATGCCATAAGAAGCTGTGGATTTTCTCTACTCCAGAACTGCTTTCAAGCCATGGACTTTTCTACAGCAAGACGGGAGGGCAAAGAAGGGCTGAAATAAAATACTGAATGAAAAGAAAATATTTTTAGCTTCTACCAGCAAACATTTCTACCCTGGTGTGCTTTTCATTCATTTGGTTGCTCAGCAGGGACAGGAACGCCATTCACTGCTGAAAAAACACATCTTTGAATGCTGCTGTTCCCAAAGGCAGTCAGAGGATGGGGCCATGCCTGCCCAAGGGAAACTACAGTGTCTGCAGGAGGCAGTGGGCACTGAATGCTTCTGTCCATGACTCTGCTTTGCTTCCTCTTCTTGTTTCCTCTTCTTCTCTCCTGCTCTTACATGTACCTGCCAAAGGTGCATCCAGATTCATCCTGCCTTTGGGTCTGGTTTACACATCTTATGGCCACCTTTTGTTTTACAGCTGAGAGAGAGACAGCAATCACATCTGATTCTTTGGCCGTTCAGATCGGGGGTCACTTGGGAGGTGTCTTGGAGTCTCATGCACTCTGGTCTAATAGAAAAGCAGAGTTCATTTTGGGAGAGGAGGTCAGTTCCTGCTTTAAGGGACTGGTGAGGATAAGCCCCCATCCTCAGACTCTTCTTTCTTCTTTTGCAATCTCAGCCCAGCTTAGCCTGCTGTTTCTGATTGCCCTGCTGAGGGCTTGGCAGCTGGTTTTGTTGCTGCAGTCAACTCTTTCCTCTTCTCTGAAGACTCATTTTTGCTTGGTGCTTCTGCTCTATCCACCCCTTGGCCATTATTTTCTGTGGTAATGGACATTTCCTGCATAGCCAGCATTGGCTGCAGGGGCTCATTGCTCTTCTTCCACCTCCGGGCCCCCGACCGTGTATTGAACTCATACATTCTGCCAGTAACTTGAAAGAACAAAAAGACAACAGATTAAAATCATTCTTCCTTTATCAGATTAAGACATGACAGTTCTCAGCATGGAACTGAGATGAGAAACGTGAAGCACTCAGAATTCAGCTGAGCTGGGGAGGCAGCCCTGAGAGGGAAATCCTCATTTCTGTGGGGAGCTGGGCATTGCAGTGGCTGCTCAGAGGAGATTCTGGCTGTTCTGCCACTATAAGAATTGTCCTTTGGGGGTTAGGGAAACGGGATATTTAAAACATTACTGTTCCAAAAGAAATAAATTTCTTATCACCTTATAAATCTATCCAAGTTCCAGGTACCAGGGGTTAACATGGGCAGTGTAGCAAACACATCCATGGTTGTAAGAACAAAACTTCTATCTTCAGCCATACCGAGCAAGACCATTGTGTATGTCTGTGCCTGTTTTGTCATGTAGACTTGCCTACCAGAGGCAGCAAACCTTGCTTAGGAGTACAGACATTTTCCAGACCATGTCAGCTCATCTGGACTGACCAGGATTTGGAGACCCAGTGAGTCTTGACTGCACACATTCCTTCTCCATTTACACAAAATGTTTTCTTCCAGGCTTGCTGTCCACTTTGCCATTAATAGAGTGACGTACCGTGTGTTTCATACAAGTACATGATTTTCTCATATGGATAAAATATTGTTACGTTTGTGTTGTTTAGCAAACATGGCTATCTCTCACTGTCAGAAAGACTTCTGTCTCTATTCAGGTTTTACGGGTGATTTCTACTTGTACATTAAAAGCAAAATATCTTCTCCTTCAGTTCATTGCTACCTAGAGATAAGTGAAAAAATTGGTGTGTGTCCAGTGTGATCACCTCACACTCTAACTCACTGTATCTTGCTACAAAGAGAATCAGGAGCTATAATGGCACTTTCTGTAATTAAGCAATAGAAGACAAACAAAAGACCATTAAGGCTTGGAAAGAAAGAGTGGTTATGTGTTACTGAATGTTGCAGTTTGTATCAGAATTAATGGTTTGTGACACATTAACACAATTTGAGCAACTCAAGATGAAACTGGACCTCTTTACATGTTATTTTTTTTCTGACTACTTACAAGTCAGGCATGTTAAAGCAGCCCAGATCAGGAAACAGCTTCTGACCATCCCTCTTAATCATATTCAACAGATTATGTCCTGGGAATTATTAAATCTCATTTTCAAACCAGCAGCCTTTGATCCTCTAGGGTTTGCAATGAGTTGTGGAAAATAGAGAGGAGGAGTGGAGAGCACACATATCCCTGTTGTCACCACAGAGCCGTGTTAGAGCTTAATGTTTGTGTCAGGCATGACACAAATGCTATGGCTCTGGATGACTGTTTGGATGGCCTCAGCTATCCTTAAGTCCAGTATGGTCAGGTTTGTTGAGAAAGGGAGCCCCAGCTGTTCTGCAAGAAGACTGGAAAGCAGCTCTTGCAGCAGCCTAGAGACTACCCATGTTTAATATATTACAAATGCAGTTACACAGGGAAAAAAGCAGGGATTTTGGAGCCCATTCCTCCAGATCTCTTTATAAATAGCAGGTGAGCTTGGACCTGGATCAAACCAGCCTTGAGCAGCCTTGTGGATGGACTTAATTGCACAGTAGGGTCCCACTTGTTTGCCCAAATTGTACTGAAGTCTCCATGCCTACTGTTTCCCATTAGCTCAACACATCCAACAGCTCTGAGCCAGCTAATAAGAAACACAAGTTGCAGGCACTTTGGTGGAAATTGGCCAGATGAATCCAAGCCTTGAAACAAGCCTGCCTTCTTCTGGATGATTTCTAGACCTATTGTTCCAGGCCTATGTTCAGATCTATTATTTAAAAACTTTTTTTCAGATTGTCACATTTTACCAGCCCCTCATCTCCATGCTGGGGCTCTCAGCCATCAGGCACGGGGCTGGGCACCCTAATTCCAGACCAAGAATCAAACTAAGGGGCTCAGGCAGGGACTGTGTTTCAGGAGAATGAGGTAAGCCAGATCAATCCTCAGTAAAACAAAAATATTTTTCCTGTAATGAGCCCTGCTGCAGAACAGTGGCTGTCACTTGGGGAGCAGGATGAGCTTCCCAGCTCATCCTGAGCTTTATAGCTTTCACCTTATTTTTGCTTTTCCCAGCTGGTTAATCAGATATGCCCAGAATGTGCATAGCTGGTGGCACAGTAGCTGTCGCCAGCTGATGGCCTTCCCTTTTCTCCCCAACAAGGGATGCCTGAGCCTTGGATAAACAGCAGCAGCACACTGTTGCTGTAAGGGAGGAGGTTTGTGCAGGAGCCAGTAACTCACCTACCCACTTCCCCAGGAGAAGTTTAGGAGCTGAAGGCAGCACTTCTGCAGTGACATTAATCTCCTGGCCATCTCCCAGACACGAGATGGGTGAGACCACGTAGCTATGATACAGCAGCAGCACACTGTTGCTGTAAGGGAGGAGGTTTGTGCAGGAGCCAGTAACTCACCTACCCACTTCCCCAGGAGAAGTTTAGGAGCTGAAGGCAGCACTTCTGCAGTGACATTAATCTCCTGGCCATCTCCCAGGAGATTAATGGGAGATGCACTCTCACAAGATGGGTGAGACCACGTAGCTATGACAGCACCAGAGCACAACAAGCAGGAGACTTGCAACACATTCCTTCTCCTCCCCCACCTTCCTATTCCACATCCATACATTCCAGTTTAGCAGAGGAGCAGTGAATAGTCTGACCATCAGATGTGTGCTTTCAAGGGCTATAAGTATATTCTTACATATACTCTATATATTCTACCATTACAAATGTTACTGAGACACTGTCTTGATTTTCACTATCTGAGATGTAGCTCCCATTCTCCTTGGAAATACCAAACTGGAAATATGAAAAGCCAATGTCAAACGATATTTAAATCAACTAATCCAGTTTGTTTCCAGCCTAATGTTCATATCCTCTGTGAATTGCTTTTTATTACCTGGGTCTCTGGCTTCTCCATCAAAGACTGTGTTTAGCTTTGTCATTGTCTGTGAAGAAACACAAAATGTAAAATGAAACCTGGGAATTAAGTTAAGTCAGAAGGAGGAGCAGTGTCTTGGAAATGTGATTTACATGGACGGAGGTAGATCTGTGTGACTTGCATACTGCATTCCTTTAGGCTGGGTTTTATTTAACCCAGACCAATGGCAACACATTGGACCACAGTCCAATGGCAACAAGAGCCATTTGTGGTGTAGGGTTTCCTCACTAGATATTTAAAGGAGAATTAATAAGTTCTGACATGCTAAATGTCTCCACGTGTGTTACCACAAGAGGATCTCCTCCACCCAGAGTAGGCTTGGGAATCTCCTCTCTGAAAAATTTGGGGAGAGGGAGTTCGCTAATCAAAGTGCCTTGCAGAGATTCACAGAATATCCGGAGTTGGAAGGGACCTACAAGGGTCATCACAGTCCAGCTCCTGGACCTGCAAAGGACCACTTCAGCAACCACACTATGTGCTGAGAGCATTCTGTCTATTTATGCAATTATGCAGCCTTTATGCAATTATGCCTATGAAAAGGAAGGAGCCCTGAGGTCCAGGAGCAAAGAAACATCTCCAACAGTGGAAACATTTATGACATCTTGCTGCAAAGACCTTATCAAGGCCTAACTCTTTACAGCCTGGGTGTGCTGGCACACCTTGCTGGTTGCACTCAGGTGGATCAGAGTTGGCTCCACAGGTCAGTGGAGTCTCAGCAGTGCACTGCTGCCATCAGTGAAGCTGGGGCACTTCTTGTCCCACCTCTGCAGCGAGTGTCCCTGTCATTGCTGTGGGCACAGCCTGTCAGGCTCCCAAGTACAGCATTTGGGCACCTGGAAGCAAAGGTGCCCCAGTGCAGGTGAGCACTCCTCACACCCCTTGTTGCTTCCAAGCACAGAGGCCAGCTGGGACAGTGAAGTGATTTGCACTTGAGGGTAATAATTATTTCCTTGCCTATCATTTCTGTATTATCTTCGGAAAATAGACACCATTCATAGAAAGAGTCCTATGGTCATATTTCATGATGGGGCTGGCAAAACTGGGGTTTCCTTTGAGGCCGGCAGTACTTACCACAACTGCTTCTTTCTTAGACTTCTTCTTTTCTACAGAAAGGAAAATGCACATTTTTAATAATCAGAATTTTCTGATAGTGACTGTAGACACTAAAGTCAAGATTTCCTGAAAGAAATAGACATTCTTTCTACTCAAATGTTGAGACATCTTAAATGAGTCTTATTTATTTTCAAATGCTGAGTGAGAATACACAATTGCCAGTGACTAATCAAAAGACTAGCCTTGAAAAGTCAGTAATGAATGAATAGTAATTGTTATTACAAATTTCCCTTTCTAAATAATATGAACAAATACAGAAATTCACCTTTGGGAATATCTGAACTGGAAATGCAGATTATTGTTTTACACTAATGTTTGTGGTTGCAAAGCTTGTGTCAAATATCGGCTTGGATACAAAACATGGAAGAGCTGCATTTTCAGTCAAGTAAAATTGAGATTGAAGAACAGTTTGGTTGTGTGTGAATTTACCACACTATTAGCTCATCCCACATGCAGACAAATACAGCAGCAGTGCCATGGGCATCTCAGCAGCATGGATTTGTGGATGATACCCAACTAGTTGCTATGATTTCTTCTCACTCACTCCTTGCCAATTTGTTTAATGTCCTTTCTTTGGAGAACTGTGCCTGGCCACAAATGTGCTTTCCAACCAGTGGTGCAAAACTCTGAAGTGCTGCAGGTGGATCTCAGCTTGGGCACTGATGGGAAACCTGCTCTGTTCTGTCCTTTTCTGCCCAGCATTTGGGAACCAGTTTTTTAGAAAGCAGAAAGCTTCACTTATTGGAAACCACCCAACACTGAAATGTCTCAAATTGGGCAACCAAGAGAACAGCTGATTTTGTGGGGTTTGTTATTCCTGTGTTTTTTTCCAGTTGGGAGATACTGACTGAGGAAAGGGGAATTACAAACACAGGGTCCTACTCAGCCCAGATGAACAGTGCTTTCTAGCAGAAATGTAATGGGACTAAAAAGAACAAGACTGCTTAAAAAAACCCATGCTTTTCCATGCGTGATTTATCTCCTTGCTAGGTTATACAAACCCTTTTGAAAGCACCAATACTTCAAAATAAATCTTTATATATGTGAAGTAATGGTGCCAAGGGAGCAAATGATCAGAGAAGTGATCAGAGAAAAGGGAATTAAGAGTGCAGAGGATTCTTGAAGGTGCTGTAGATGGCTGGGATTATTTTTTAACAGATAAATTACATTATTTCTTAAGAGATAAATAACAGCATATAAATTGCATGTGAAAAATACAGTCATTCTTTAGCATCTATGCCAGAATACCAGACTACTCTGAATTTGGATTTTGCCTAATAATTAATAGATTTTAAGACTAAAAAGGCCATGAAATCACTTTGTCAGGCCTCCCATAATTGGCCAGGATTATCTAATCTCAGTACCCTTCTACTGTGTCAAATTTCTATCTAGAAATTAATTTACAGGTTTTGCATGGACAAACAAGGTCTTATTTTGAAGCATTAAAAGATAGAAAAGAGGTACACACCTGGAGCATTTATCCTGTAATGAAAAGAAGATTAAGAGTTAACAAATGTCATGGTTTTCCCTAAAAAAAAAAAAAAAAATTAATTCTCTTTCACTTGGCAAGAAGGATGTGTTTCCTTGAGTTGTGAGATTTGCTTGATTTATTTGGTTTCTGATTTTGCTTTCACAGAAAGCCTGCATCATTTAATGCTGCTCTCAAACAAGAAAACAGTTCTGAGCATTGCTCTAACACTTCTTCAAGAAGGAATGCTCTTAAAATAATAAAGTCTTATTGATGATAGCATAATGGATTTATATAATCTGGAAAAATGTATTTTCAGATATATTTTCAGATATTGTGATTTTGTTCCATCGTGGGAAAAAGGTAAATTTTTTGGATCAGATGTGCTCAGAGAATGTCTTTTAAAATATCTGAAAGTTTATAAATGTTTTTTGAAAATATAGAAATTGCTTTTTAATGGGAGACACTGGTTCCCAATAAATCATTTGCCCAATTAGTAAATAATAGCAGTATCTGAGATTCATTTGTCATTTTTATCACAACCTTTTACTGCCTTGCACACATGATCTGAACTACAGTCACAGTCATTTAGTAGTTCTTTACATTTAATGTAACTTTTAAATTGATGTCCAAATCCTGAGAATCCTAGTATGAATCCTTTTTTTTTTTTTCTTTTTTTTTAATCCCAGCCACTTAAAGGACTGCTTATCTTTGTTTTGTGAGGCACAAAGTCAACTTAGAGGCAGCCTGGCTCCAGCCCACTGAGAAAGCAGCCAACAGGGATCTCTCCACATCCCACAGTGAATCAGAGCTGGTCCCAGGTGCTTCCATGCCTTTTGCCAAGCATGAACACTTAGAGGTAAGCTTTATGGGCCAGAGCCTTGTAACTGGTTTGGTAAAACTCCAGGAAATCTGCAGAAGTTTTGCCAGAGCAATGAATTTGGCATGAGCACCAATATTTGCAAAGGACACTGGGATCCATAGCTGAGAGGGAGGAAAATGCATTCAGTAACTACCTAGATGGGAGCTCCCTTGGAGAGGGGGTCAAATACAAACCAAAATATTTGTGGTCAGCATAGTCTGGCACAGGCTCCAACTGAGCCTCATGAGCATGGCTGCCTTTAGATGTTATAACTGCTAATTCCACTCCTACCTTCCCCTAATGTTAGTGTTACTAAACCCATGAGAAAACATGCCATGGACACATTTCCTCGAGTTCATATCAATAACACCCAAAATCGCTGTACCTGGTATTAGCATTTACTGCAGTACAGGCTAGAAAAGATTCAGAGCACCACGGCAGAAAGGCCTGAGCCATCTCTGTCCCTGCCAGGTGGTGCTGGGACTGCCCAGAGTGCCATGTGGGGGACTCACAGAGGGGTGCTGCGTGCCTTCCCTGGCGGGGGGCAGCGGAGCCGGGCGAGCAGCAGGAGCCCCAGGTAGCCCAGCAGCCCGAGGAGCAGCGAGGCGCCCAGCGTGAGCACGAAGGGCACGTACCACGCCGACGGAGAGTAGAGGTTCTCCCTTCTCGTCACAACAGTGAAGCCAGGCTTTGAAAACAAGACAGGAAGAGTTCCTCAGGGCTGCATACTGACACCAGCGTCACCTTTCATCTGGATGAACTTCTGCACTGAGGCAGCCCAGCCTGCCCCAGGGCTCGGCAGGTGATGGGCACAGGGAGGTGAGGCAGGCACTGACTCATGCCCTGTGCACTGCCAAGGCAGATCAGGTGGCTGGGATGGACCACTGAGCTCCTGGGGCTACCAAAGGCAGGTGAAATGGAAAACACAAGGAAAAGGGGAGGTTCCAGATAATGTTTCAATATCTTATATCAAAACAAGCATGGCGGGGGTTTAAGAGCTTCAGGTTGCCTGAGAGGCTGTGGGCACACTGGTGGAGGGCGAGAAAGTTCAGGGAATTCTGCCATTACTGAGATACTGTTTTCTTTTTACCTAAGGCAAAACTGGAAGTAGGTCATCTTCACTGCAGTAATCATTCAGACTGCTTTGTAAGAAGAGTTGAACCCTAAGGAACTGGGTAATTGTATAAAAAGAAATGGAACCTTCTTTTTTACCCAGTGACTTGTTCCAGAAGGAAAAACCACACTTCCTGAGCAGTTGCAATCTCCCACATCTTCCTGAGTGTCAGGAGACACATCTCTGAGCTGGCACATCACTTGGTGCTAACAGCTCATTCATTAAGGTCCCATCATGAAACTATTCTCACGCATTTCACTCTACCTAGTTCATTACCTAGTGTGGTACTATTAGTTTTGATCACCTACTGAAGTTTTTATTTAATTTTCTGTAACACATTTGTAATCACATTGAGTATGAAATTGAGCAGGCTATCTATTTCTTTCCAATTTAAGGATAATTTTAAAATAATCTATTTAGTCTTGTCAAAAAAAAAAAAAAAAGATACATCCAGTCCTTAGAGAAACATTCAATCTCAATATCACACCACCACTTTCTCCTCACCTGGACTCAAGTGACAAGTGACATTTTGTAATGGGGCTTCTTTTCTATACTACCAGCTTTCCAGCTTCTGACTCATCGAGTTGCTGCACTGAATGCATGTAAAGAGTAGTTATGGGAGAACTTGCTGTATTGGAAGTGCTCTTCTGGAAAATAGCCTGCAAGTGGAAGGCTGATATCTCTGGGGAGACAGATTTAATGCTGTGGTATGTGGTTGAGACTGTTTGTAGTTGTGGTATAGCATGGGAAAGAAATACAGAATAAGTTTTTTCAGCTTAACTTTTCATTTCCATATCAAGTTGGGGGAGTAGAAGTCAGTGAAAAAATCATTTATTCCTTCCCAAAAGAGCATTAGATAAGAACAGGGTTATTAATCAGTCTGAAAATTTGGATCTAAGCATGTTCATAGCAAAGCAAACCAGACTTGGATTTGCTGTTTGCAGGATCCTTTGGTTCTGGCTCCGTTACCAGAAGCCTCTAGAAGACACAGAACATTTTACAGCAAAGGCCTCTTTTACCACTTCATTTGGATATTCATGCTTTCATTCCTGCATGCAAGAGGGAAAAGGATAATGCCATCTGCAGGCAGGGAATGGATGGACTGTGGATGATGGAAGATGGTGCAGCAAGGCATGAAGGGGTGACTGATACAAGGACAGAGACAGAGTGATCTGCGCCCTCAGGCAGTGTCACATCTACAGGAAAGACAAAGGCAAGCTCTCTGTCCGTCCTGCACCAGCCTGGTGGAAATCAGCTTCAGAATTGAACTGGTGAGACAGAGGTCAACTGCGATGGCTGTGTGAAGAGGTGAACAGTATTGCTGGGACACAGGCCCACAGATCCACAGGCTGTGCAAGGTTAGATCCCACCTGGGCTGCCAAAAGCTGTGCAGGCTTACTCAGCTCAGCTATGGACCATCACATGGGCATGCAGCTCAGGAAAGATCCATCCTGCCCCTTTGGATTTGCTGTCTGAAACCTGCTGAAACCGTAGCGACACACTGAGGCTGTGCAAAACTGCTTCATTTCCTGACATGCTGCTCCAAGTTTTACATGACAGTGACTTCAGGTCTGGACAAGAAACCCTTACGGCAGATGAGGATTTGTTGTTGTTGCTGTTGTTGTTGTTGTCTGTTTTAACTTTGATAGCCACAGATTAATGTACTTCAATGATAAAGAAGCCTACAAAACTGCAAGGCACATGGGGGAGTGAATAGTTATGAATAAAAAAAGAGGTAGTGCAAAATGCATGAGGTAATTTTAAGGTTCCAGGCAAAGGTTAATCCCTGCTCTTTTCTTATTAATAAAGCTGCCAAAATCTTTAACTTTCCAGTTGTATGGTAATGGCAGCGTGCCCGGTCCTTTGGCTTCCTGCCCTTTTTGTTTTAGAAACTGAAATACAAAACACATGTTAAGACTCTGTACCTGGGGCTAATCCTTCATGACACTAAGCACATCAACCACCTCTGGCTTCACCATAAGAGCAAAGGGCTCAGAAACTCCCAGGACTAGATGCACTCTAGTGTTTTGCTTTCCTTTTGCATACATCTATCCTCTTCTCCTTACTCCTGTGGAGATTACTCCCTAAAAGAAATGCAGAACTGGCCATAAGTTTTAGTGAACTTACCGTAGTGGTTGTGGCAGTAGTTGGGCTTGGGATAACTCTGATGCTTAAAGTCACTGTTCCAGTTTTAGTTAAGTGTGTAGCTTTGCCCCTGGCAGATGCTAAATTGTCGTCGGTTATGTGGACACGCAGACTGTAAACCCAGTTTGTATCAAGGCCACTCTCATAGTCAAACATTGATGCAAGAATCAGACGAGATGTGTTGGAGCCAGCACTTGGTGAAAAGGTGAAATGACTGTTCTCATTGCCTGCAAGAAGGTAATACCAAAATGCAAAAAAAATTACTTTAATCCCATGTTAAAGTAAGTGTGTGTAACAAGCAGTGAAGTGTGGTAAAATGTCAATGACAAGAAGGGCTCCTTGATCTTCCTTGTACCATATAAAATAATTTAAAACAATACAGTCATAAAAGCATTACAATCTAGAATAAGACCTTCTATGGGGACATAGCAGAGAGGAGCCTGTGGAGACACTTGAGATCCACAGGGCACACAAGAGGTCACCTGAATGACCTGAACTTACAACCTGGGGAGCACTCAACAACACCCAGCAGGGGTGAGGACCCTGCGGTGTGGCAGGGCTCATTCCACTACTGGGGTGTCCCTGGAGTGCTGTTCCAGCCCCTCTCCATGGATTCTCCATCTGCCCAGAGGCAGTGGCCTTTGAAGAGAGTTAATGGCTCAGTGGCACTCATTGCCTCCAGTGCTTTGTCAGCACCATGGGGCAGGGAGGACAGTTCAGAAGTGGTGGTTCCCCACCCCTTGCTGTCTGTCCATTGTGGCTGGAGAGATGCTCATGGCCTGGGCTGCAGGCAGATCAGCTCCAGCTGTTAGGATCTGGACAGACCACATAAACAAGAAATCAGAGCCTTGAAAAGGCACCAAATGTGCTTTGGTTTTGCTCCTGAGGCCCCACAGAGATCAAGAGTTGACATGTCCTTGAAGGTCATGCCTGTTTTATAGCACAAAAAGGGCCATGAGCTGTTCTGTGGCTCAGAGGCCAATGCATGACACAGCTCAGGTCTGTACCACCAGGACTGGGACTGATTCACTAACACAGCCTTTCCATTTGTATGGAATCATGTGTCAATACCATGTTCCATACATCATCTTGTCTGCAGATTCATACATCATCTTGTCTGCAGAGCTCCTTCTGTGGCATCAAAGGGCTGCAGTAGGACAGAGATTCTCTCTTTTGATACACACAGCTTTTTACTAGCACCTGGACAATCTGCTCCCTCCTTCACAGCAGTCACCTCAGCAACAAAAGAAGGAATTGCCCCAAGAGAGTGTGTTTCCATTTTTGTGAAGCTGAGTGTCATCCCATACCACTGCAGCTCTCAAAGTGGATGCAGCTGACCACAAGGTTCAAAGAAGGGTTTTTAAAAGGAGGATTTATTGTATACAGCATGGACCTACAACATGCATGTTCAAGCAGTTCTTTTGAACATCACACCTGCATTTATGTGATGGTGAGATACGCAGAAATACAGAACTTTCCATTGTTTCTCAAGATTTACTCTGCTGTAATTGGAAGGGAAATTTGACACTGCACACCATTCCAGCTCATTCTTCTGAAGTTCTTGTCAACTGTGTAACTACAAGCCTATTAATTAATATGGCAGGCAATCCAGCCTTACAAGGGAGTGGTTCTAGCTGCTAGCATCTGTAGCACCAGTAGCCAGCTTGTGGAGAGGATCAATGTAATGACGTGCAGAACTTGTGGCTCACAGCTAGTTCACCAGGAATTAGCACACAAACTATGTAAGGTATTTGTTTATAAATATAAGTGAACTATCAGCATTTGGTATTTTTTCCACTGTTCCCACTTGCCCACTGTGACACAGTACCTTCATTAATGAAGTAACGGAAAGACCTGGGATCAGAATCACGATCTTGACATTCAATCCTGAAGCCATTAATATTGGTCCCAACAGCTAAATTGACTGGGATTTGAAGTGAGAAGAAATTGGGTAAACAAACTGGTTCTTCATCATTTACTTCCAAAACAATCACAGTTACCTAGAAGAAAAGACAAATAGCAAGCTGAAGCTGCTTCAATGTGCTGAGACAGAATTTTGCTAACTTCAGAAACTGTTTGCTTTTGCCCATTTTGTTCTTTTGATCAACAGCAGTTGAAGAGCACTGAAGTGCCCTTCCAACCTAGCTCCTGCCAGAAAATGTCTGTGATCCTTTGTCCCTCAATTCTTGTGATCAGCACTCTTCCGAGAACAGGTTCTGTCACCTGAGCCATCTTCCAAAAGTGAAGGGTTTTCAAGCTGATATGTCTGTTTGAACAATCTGAATTGTGTTATAGTTAAAATGAGAAATAATAATAGTACCACAAAATCATTAAAAGCCTAATCATTAAACTCCCTTCCAAAACTCTCAGTTTGCTTTACAATCATTAGTTACACTTCTTAGCATATTTAATAACCATTTAGAGTATGATCCATGGAAGGAAGAGAGTTTATAGACTGTTCCCAGTGGGAGAGAAATGCGGGTAATGGCCTCCTGCATGGGTAGGAGCACCCTGAGTAGAACCAGATGTGTTTGATGTCATCTGGGATTAGTTAGCTAAAAGAAGAAGGTTACCTTTCCCAAAGTTCTTTCTTCTAATGTCTGTTTGTCAGGCAACAGATAAGCTTGACATTGTTAAAAGCTTCTGATGCTAAATTGTCATTAATTGTCACCTTGAAAAGTTATAGATGATAAAAAGATTTAATACCTCCTAAATAGCAACTCCATGGGTGGTGCTTGGCTGGAACGAAAAGCAAGCTTAGTACCTGTGTCACCCCCAAGAGATGTGTAAAAATCAAATATAAAGCAGTCATGAGGGAGAAAGTGTGAAAGAAGTCAAAAGGAGCCTGTCCGTGAAGGACACTGGGATTTTTTGAAAGAAGTTCCTATAAAATACCTTCTTCTGTGGATATGGCATCTATACTTTTTCTTCTGAATAAAATAGGTCTGGGCAGAAAACCTAAGCCAAACCCTGCTGTCAAAGGTTATCTTGGTACCTGGCATGGTCTTGACTTCTGCCAGATGGCACCATCAGGGAAAAAAGTAGATCTTGGTCAGGGCAAGGCACAATTCCAGAAGGCCAAGTGGACACAGCTACTGGGCTGGCCCTCTGACACTAACCCAAGAGGCCACCCAAGCCCTCCTCCCATCCACATCCTCTCTATAGCACTCCATGAAAACAAAGTTTTGATACGCTGCAACACAATTCTCACATTACTTTGGATACTTTGCAGGGAAAAAAATAACAAACAAAATCAAAAGTATCCTTGAGTGTCAAGGCACACTACAAAGACTCCAAAGACAGTTTGCCACTAAGCATGGCTACAATTCGATTGTGTTGCCTGGCCTCAGGACCCTGTTCTTTTTCTATTTTCCAGGTAAAATAAGAAAAAGAGTCTGAGAAGCAAACATCATAGTTAAAAATATTAAAATACTATTTTATCCTTTTTGTGAGAAATAAACCAAGACTGAGTAAGCAACACCTCTTTCATCTGAGTAATATATAACTGGGCAGGGTTGCACTTGCCTTTTACAGAAAGTGCTTTGCCCAGTGTCTCACTGTTCTTGCTAGGAAGAAGAGAGAAAGATGTAGGTAAAGGTGAAGTAGTAGAGTGGATTTACTCACTGATGCTGTTGTAGACTTCTCTTGATCTGAGGCCTGTACTGTGAAAATATGTTTCTGAGTTGTTTCATAGTCTAACCTAGCTAAAATCCTCACATCTCCTTTTGTTGGGCTGATCCAGAAGATATTTGTGTAATCGCTGGTGCCAGCTCCAGCTACAATGGAGTAAGTGATGACATTGGGTGGCCAGTCCTGGTCTATGGCATGCACTCTTCCAATGCTGGATCCAACTGAGAGACAGAAAATCCATATTTCATTAATATTTAAAGTAACAGAAGGTACAGATGAAACTGAACTAAAGATTTGGTTTAGAGTTTTTCACCCAAGAAAATTAAAGCAAAGGTATGATAAGCACTATTTCCCTGTGGTGTGCTATGGCTCCCCTGTACATGGGCTGCTAGCAGCAAATACCAAAACACAAGAGTGTGTAGAGAACCTCAGCAGAAGTGCTCCATGGCTGGGCCAAGGGAGTCCTCACTCGTCTGTATCAGTCTGTAAAGGTTTCTGTGCACCACCACAGTCCCTCCAAAAGGCTAATTTAGCACGAGCAGAAAGACAGTCTAAAACAAGACATCTGAGTTCAGTTCCTGGCACTGCCACAGATTTCTTGTGCAATTGCTGAATTTGTCTGTGTCTCAGCTTCCATCTGTACAATTGGAGTTTTTTGCCAGTTTAGTCTATTTAAGGGTAGTAGATGGCTGTGTGGTGGAGACCCTACTTGAACTGGAACTTTGAGCCATTTGCCTCATCTACATATATGAAAATTCATTTGGAGCAAAAAGGCACTTAACAACATGGCAACATTACTTCTATAATTTAGGTGCTACTTACTGTACCTTTAGTAATTTCTGAAACACTAAATACGTAAGATAAATTACGGAAGACTGGAAAAAATTCATTCACTGGCTTTATCCTGATGTAAATGTAGATGATATCTGGAAAATATAACAGAAGATTAAATCAGAAGATTAAATCATAGTTAAGTATGGCTGTGAAATTTTCTCATACATATATTCAAAATACATATGGTATTCCTCTCTCCATGATGTTACAGCACAGAAAACTATCAAAAGAAATGTAAAAGGGATACTTGCTTGAGTAGTTAGGATGGGCAATATCTTGCACCCTGACAGTCAAAGTATAAACTTCAACTCCTGGATTAGCTGGGTTTTCTAGATCAATCATTTCAGTCATCTAAATAGAAAGGAACATAATCATATTTATACCTTCACACATTAAGTCACAGTACACAGGATGACAATTACTCTATTTATCATTCTGTAAATATGATTTGCCCCTTGGGTATAAAGAACTGTTCTATAGGAATAACACAGACTAATAGTCAATTTCAGGATTAAGTTCCAGGCTTTTTCTGCATGCTCACACTTCTGCCAACAAAATTTCTTCCCCTTTAGAGCAGAAAGTTTAATCATTTGGACAATAAGGTCTTGACCTTTTACCTAGTCAAGTCAAAGCTTGTGTAATGAGCTGGCTATTTATGCTGCCCTTTCTTGGCTCAACAAGGATCTGTGATTGCTGACAGTAATAGCTTGAGCTATTGCCTGAGCTCATGCTTGCAGATATTAATAAAAAGGTATCAGGTCCAGCCACAAGTGTTTGCCCAGGAACCAAGTTGTTACTAAATGGTAGCTCACACAGATTTAAATCCTAATCTTCTCAGCTCTCTATCTTGCTGTGGAAGCCTCATAAACTTAGAGGCAGGGGGATTAACACACAGGCATCCACTGCTGGTTGTCTGTTCAGGGAGGTTCCTGGAGGAACAGGTTACTTGGTGTAGTCTGTTATATTGTACATACACAGGGATTAAAGGCTTGACAACAATCTTATCCTGTGCAGGAAGAAAAATGCTTTTTATGTTGGCAGATGAAGCAGCTAAGGGCAGTTATTATTGACACAGAAACCTCAGTTCTAAAATTAAAGTAAACAATACAAAATCATTTTACTGCTCCTGTAGCACTCTTGTCTTTTAGACAGAATGCCTATTTTCTGTTGTTTCCCTTTTTCTGTAGTTGCCCATGGATATTTTTTTAAAGCAAAAAACAACCACCATTGCACATGTCCAGGAACTGGTGGGGTTCCGGCCAATGCCAGTTTGCCAGCAGCTATCAGCATAAGGAATCCATATTTTGACATGTAAAATCACAGAAGTGCAAATCTCACCACACTTTTGTGAAAATTTGCCACTCAAAGTGATTTTACGATTCTGACCAGTTACTGAGTTACAGAGTGTGAGATTTCTCAAGTATTTAAATTCTTCATGCTGAATAGCAAGGATCTTCCACAGTCTGTCATGAGTAAATGGGTATGAAATGGCATCAAATTTCTCTGTTTATTCCATATCAAAGTTGGTGCTTCACACTCCCTAAAAAAGAATATTTTTTTTAATCATATCTAGCACATTTATTTAAAACTGAAGAAAACACTCTCTGTTCACTAAATTCTGTAGAATCCTTAGAAAGCATCCTATCTAGGGGTATATAGTTCACAACCAGTCAAAACAGTCATTCTGCACATCACACCTACTGTGAAATGGATTACAGTAATTTTTTTTTCTTGTACAATAAATTTTAAAAATCCCTTTTAATATTTCATAAGTTGACTTCTCTAATGGGGTAATCTAACATAAAGCCACAAATGACTGACCACAAGTCTTCCAGACACATTGGACTCCAGAGCAAAGTAATTGCTTCCAAAACCAGATAATCCAGTGAAAATAAATTGGTTGTTTGATGGATCAGCATCAATATCTTTACAGTAATTTCTAAGATCAACAAGAAATGTCCCAGGAGCTGTATTTTCATTTGCTTCTTTCCTGTTTAAAACAAACACATTTCCCATCAAAGCAACTTATATTTCTCCTTTTGAACTCTTTATTTATCACAGGCCAAAACATTGATTTACTTTTTAAGTGAAACCCATCTAAATATGCAACCATGGAGGAAGCAACCCAGACACCGACCCACGTGCTGTGATGGATGACACCCCTGTACAGTGGGCAGGCTAATGACAAATGTCCACGTGAGCCTCCAGCTGCAGGTCTGGGGATGTGCCCTGGTCTGCACACAGGCCTGGGGCGGCAAGGCAGCCAAGGCAAGGAAGAGACTCCATACCTGAAGGAAGAAGGATTGCATTCTGGGGGGTTGTCATTGACATCATCAATAACAATAGTGATCTCCATTTCTCTGGCATGGCCACTGCTGGGGCTGTCCTCCACCCGGACCGTCAGTGAGATGTTGGGATGGAGCCGCAGCGGAAGCGCATCCCGGTCAATTCTCCCGGTCACCTGCACCACTCCAGTTGCTGTGAGAGAGCAGCCAGAATCAGACATTCACCATGGGGGGAAGCAACAAACAGTCATGGTGTACATGCAAGAGGGCAGGGCAGCTCAAGAGACAGATAGCAGAATAAAAAGTCTTCTGTTCTGTGCAAATCATGGCTGGTTTCGTTATTTTTTTAAGTGATGCAAAATGGCTCTGAACATTCTGAGTAAGATTAATGGTTAGATACCATTGCTGAAAAATGTGCCTTAGGAGGCCTCAGCAGAGGGCTTGTAAAGCATTTAGGTTTCTCTTACTCTCAAGCCTCTAGTGCAAGGCAGAGTTGAGTGTGTTCACAGAGCATCAAGGACAACAAGCTGCTAATGCCAGTGCTGTCCTGGCTCCCTAGCTAGTAAAACAGCTTCTCTTTCCACTGTTATCATTCAAGCATCTGTCAGCACCTCCAAATCTACTCACACATCAACAGAGCTGTGACAGACTGTGCCAAGTGCTCTGGTCAGCCACTCACTTAATATTTTTTTTTTGCTTCTCTTAGCCTCTGTCAGAAATAGAAGATTTTTATGGCACAGTACTATTCCCAGAGCACAAAGGGGTTAAAAGAACAGTGCATACATCCTCCATATTTTGGAGTGTAATGAGGAGGAAGGTGGCAATACAAGGCCAAAGGGCATAGAGAATCCAAAGCATTTTTGGATCCTCCTGAGCCCCCACAGTACTGTGTTGTGTGGCACTTCTTACAACTGTGACAAACAGCTCTAAAACAATAGCAGACAAAGAGCAAAGCTGTCACTCAATGCCAGCCCTGGAGGAAAAACTCCTGGTGAACAGATGTACAGAACCCCGAGAGCATGAAGAAATAGGATCACCATGAGAAAGAGGACTCTTTTGGATGGCCTTGCCTGAGGAGGGTCATAGATGGAACAATGAACTTGAGGTGTAGATTTGCTGAGCACCTCAGTGCTAGAGAGGATTTCAGACGGGAGGGAGGACACCACAGTCTAACTACCTGCAGATATTTCAGGAGCCCGAGAAGGGTCACTGCAGTCCTCAAAGATTAAAAATAAGTCAGCAACCTTACTTCCACCCAAGGAACTGTCACCCTCCAACAACAAGTCAGTATTTGTCAAGAAGTCACCTTTGGTCTACTTTCTTCAAGATATCTTATCATGTCTTGGTCAGCTGACCAAAGAATTTCACTCTAGTAAGGGACTGAGCATTCCTTATTGCTATAGGGAACCACTAAATAAAATAAGTCTATTTAAAACTAAGGCAAAATAATTTCTCCAGAGTAGATAGTCTTTTTTTGTTATTTTTCAGCTGTCAGAAGTCACATTCTTGTTTGTCTGACCTGGATTTATGGAAAAGTGTCTGTTAGATGACTGGATGCTGTAGAAAAGTCTGCTGGGAGAATCTTCATAATCAGGATCTTTAGCTGTTATATTGGCAACAATTGTGCCTGGGCTTTGTTCCTCTGGAATCCTGTAGATTCTTTGTTTTCTACAAGATAAAATTCAACAAAGCATGCATCTTGTTTGTAAGGGCAGCTGATTGCAGACTTAGCTGAGAAGCCAACTGTAGCAGCAGAGCCATGGCACTGCTGGGCTCAGAGATGGCGATTTGCATGTCTGGATAAATATCCCAGGCATTGGTTCTGCCAGATGGACATGTAGCAGTAGCTGAACTGGCATGTGCTCATGAGGCATGACACAGCTACACAAGTAAGTGTTCTTCCTCTGAAACTTTTCCACAGTAAAAGCAATTTGACTTTCACAGGACCATGGAAACTGAAGAGGTAGGAGGTCATTAAGTCATGCCATCCATCTCCTTAAAGAGCCACCAGCTCATAAAGTCATTTCCTTTAATTCCCTTGTTTTACAAGAGAAAAGCAAAAATCACAATAAATAATGTAGTTACTTATTGTAGTTACAAAATCATCTTTTGGAATGAATGCTGGAGCTTTCTGGGGGGCAACAGTATTACAGAAAAACTGAATTGTCGCTGCAGTAGGCAAAGGTAGGAAGGAGCACTCTTCTGGGTGCCTAACAGATGAACATGCCTCAAACTCCCAGAGCATCTGTCTATCTGATGCATTTTACCTCAGGAAAATGATTCTCTACTGCCACTAGTTGGTATGCCAGTGCTCCCAAATTTCCCATGAATTGAATTTTATAAGTCAGATACCGCCTGGCAGGCAACTGTGCAGGATTGCTTACAGTGGTTGCAGTTTGATGTTCACATGGGTACTCAGGTGGACAATTTCAGTACTTGTAGCACATGCAAAAATAGGCATGGGCCGGGACAAAAATGGTGCAAGGAATTTCAGAAGACTGATTTATATTACTGAAACACACACAAACTCACAAGCATCTCCTAATTCTAGAACTCAAAGGAAGTTGAAGGTCCTCAAGAATTCAAAAAACATTGGAAGTGTGTTTCAATACTAAATACTTTTTGTACTTTTAAAACATCCTATGCCACCACTTAAGTAATTGACTGCTCTGTAGTTCCCAGCACAGGAAGACACGAGTCCTTGGCTGTTCTCTGAAGACACACATCATGGGGCACTAAGCAATTGGAGCAGAGAATTGCAGAGGCAGAACAAAAGATCCCACACCTCAAGATCTCCACTTGCAATTTTAAAAATGGTTATGAAGACACACTATCTTCAACTGTTCTGTCAGTTCATATGAAAAGAGGCAAGCACACAGGAGAGAAATCACATAGGTTTTTCCCAGTAAAAGCACCTAACTTACAGCCAGAAGAAAACAAGGAGGTTATGAAGCCTGCTGTGTCAGTTGTTTATTAAGTTTCTAGTCTTGGCATTGAATCCCTTCCTTCCTTGTTCTCCTGCTGCTTCCAGAGTCATGCAGAAAGAAACAGATTCCACTCACTCCCACAGTTCTAAGTGGTTTTGGCCCAAAGTAGGATACTCCCTAGGCCCACTGGAACCCCAACCCCGACCTCTCTGTGAACAGCAAACTCACCACAGCTCCACCCTCACAGCCTTACCAACCCTTCTGCAACCTGGTCGTTGTCCCATCCCCACTAGATATTTTGGGAAGAAGTAGGGCATTATTGAGCACACCCTCCTAGCACAAAGCACCAGTACAGCTGGGGAGGAGCTGGGGCTACTTCCTACACAGCTATGTCTGGAATGTGTCCTGTTGTCCGTCTGTCTGCCACCTGCCAGTGGCTTTTTACAGGACGGTTCAAGCAGACCTTTCAGTCACTGCAATGTAATTGCAAAGGAAGCATATGCTTGTTTTCTTGTCTTCTCCTTTGCTTTCCTGACTCCACAAGTTTTCCACTGATTTTAACAGCAACAGTTTCAAAAGGCTGAATGCCAACGTGGTGTTGTGAACACCAAAACCAGATGTGTTTGCATATACTATGGGAACAATTAAAAAGACCCTTTGAAACTCTGCTCTTGACAGCTAGGATTGGGGTAAAATAAAGGAGCCTTGCCAGCTCCTCAAGCTTCCCCAGCTCTTACCCCAGCACTAATTACTACAGTGTCAGGCAGTACTCAGCCCCAGCATGCAGCTCAGATTGTAGCAGGGGACAGGCCATACATGTGCATATTAAGGATAGATCATTAAGTGAAATTTACTCTAAAATTCTTTACAAACTGAGCTGCTCTTTTTGAGCTGTAGTGTCAATCTAAAAGGGAGAAGATTCAAACAAATACCAGACTCTATTTCTGCCATATAAGTCTTAGAACTTAGCTGTTACGGATTCTCAAGTCACTGTAGTTTTCACTAATTCAAATAAGTAGATAAATATTTTAAAGAGCTCTTCTAGCATTCCAGACACTAGGATAAATACACAGAAATGGCAAAATCAGGAGGGAATAATCAGTCTAGAACACAATGTGCAGACATTAGCACTGGAAAGAAGATTCCTTATGATGCCTTAAGCTTTAGCTTTCATATTTTCCAGATTGTGTACTGTGTTAGCATATAACTCTGAACTTCATATAAAGTGTTAGCAAGTTCTCTTCACAGTTTAGTTAGACAAAACAATCCTCCTCCAGCTGGAGAACCAAGGACACCATTGTGTCCAAAAAGGATAAAAACAAGCAAATTGAGGAGAGCAATCTGGGAGGATGGGACTTCATAACCTGAAGTTGTAATTGGACAATTTACCCCAATATGTAAATGGAATGAAACTTCTAAAAGTGTGAAAACTCGTGACCAGTTGTCCACTTTGGGTGTAGCCCTGGCTGGGCTTTTGTACTGCCCAAGGTGTGTCCTTTGAAGGCCTTTTAATGAACACCTACTTTATTCCTTTAACTCTGCCTAGCCTCTGTTCTAGGTAGCCTCCCAAGGCATCACTCCTGCTTGCAGAAGTACAGTAACATGGAATGAGTTATTAACGTTCTTGTTTATTGCAGACATGAGGTTCAAGTATTAAGTAGGTAGAAAAAAAAAAACAAAAAAACAACAGCAACAGCAACAACAATTCATGCCTATTTCTAACATTTAATTCTTTTGTTTCTTCAGATTCTTCACCTCTTTATCCATCAAGGTCCAGATCATTGGCCTCAGCCCAGGAGCCATGCATTGCTCTGGGTTGAGACAACATGCAGAAGATTGTTCCAAACAAGAGGCTGGAATCTCCTGGCATGGCCCCAGGTGCTATCCTGTCTCCACTTCTGCAGAGGTGGCAGGAGAGGAGCCATCACAAATATTCTCAGCAGGGACCTTGTAGAGTCTCACAATCAGGAGACACAATGAGAGTGCCTTAAATCCCATCAGTGTCTCATGCAAGTCGCATAGATAAATCAATAACAGAGTCAGATCAACTGTAGTAATTGTCAAGCTCCTTCTTTAGAAACAGCCATCCATTGTGCTTTTCACAGCAAAACAGCCTGCTTGTAGCACACGCATATTTGTTCCCATTTTTCTAAATTCTTAGTATATCCTGACTCCATTAGTCTTCAAAAGCTATTTCTGACTTGTGTGTTGTGACACAATTTCCTGCTTATGACACAGTAAGAGACAACAATATTTCAAAGATCACCGGGATTGTTTACAAGTGTCTGGGAAGAGAAGACTGATCAAAAGGGAGACCTTTTTATGTCTAGACATTTCTGCATGAATAAACACAATTATGGTGAAATGCACACCTGCACAAGGAGCAAACCCTATATGATTGTATTCACACCGGGTGAAAAATAATTTCCTTGTCTGAACTTGTCCACAGATCTTTGCATAGCTTTAACCTCTGTAAGTGCTAACAAGTAAAACAAGCTTGTTTGGCTGTTCTTAGCATGAAGACAGAGCCTGGAAAACCTTAAACTACTAAGAATACAAATAAAAATAAATGAGTGACATTAGGAGGAAGATTTCCAGTATAAGAATAGGAATCATAGCAAAATTAAAGTACTTTTTAAAGTCATATTTTGTTGTCACAGTTATTTGCCCTTATGTTAAACCCTCCTACTCGTGCCAAAGCAGTAAATCTGAGAAAACACCTATATTTTGAGTGCAATGGAAAATTTTTACTCACGTGGTAAAGTAAGGCCTTTCATCATTGACGTTAATTATATTTATGTTCACTGTTCTAGTTGAGTTGAGTCCATCTGGATCTGTCACTGTTATGTTTAAAAAGTAACTGTTAAATAAGAAAAACAGAACAAGAATCATTCTGTGTATGTCAGAAGACATTTCTCTGAATACTATAGGCTAATAGGCCATGGGAATAAAATACATTCTCACCAATGTGGATCTTTCTCATAATCAAATTCTTTTGTGGAAAAAATGTCTCCATTTTCCTTGATTGAGAATGGCACTGTTGCAGGGAGCAGTGAATACTCAAATAAAGAGAACAAGAAATCAATCTTTTTATCTTTAAACATCTTTCCATTCATTCCTTGCCTTGCAGAGCAGGGAAAGTTACAAAAGGTCATGCGCCACGTGAATAAGCTGCAAAAGTCACTGAGCAGATCTGTCCAAGGTGTACCAGCAATCTTTATTTGTAGCTTCCTATGCCTCGGATGTGTCAGGGCTTAGAGGGCACATGGACCTCACTGCCAGTGCTTTCACACACCAAGCAGAGCTAAACCCCCACAGTTCTGCTTCCCTCCTCACCAGCTGGGTTTGCCTGGGCAAAGGCTGAGGACAGACTTCAAGCTAATTGCTTTCTTGAATAGCACTAAACATGGAAGTAGCATCTTTGGGTTCAGTTTTTGAACGTACTGTATTTTATAAAGCCAAACTAAATAAAGCAAAGATATAACATAATTCTCAGCTACCAACTTATCATTTTCCATAAGTTTTTATGAATAGCAAGAGTATTTTCAGATCAGCCAACATATTTTCATAACTGGAGGTAGGTCACATCTTGTTCTGGGATTGTCAAAACCTGATATTCATTTGCCTTGTGATTTCCCTACTGTCTCATTTAAAAGAATTTATATTGTGATACAGAAGGTTAAAAATTTTATTTACTTTTAGTCACTCTTATCTACAAGAAAGATTTTGTAAGCCTTTTTTAAATTTTAAATTCACAATTTCTACTGTCTCTCTAATTAACTATATCAAATTCTGCCTTCAATATCCCTTAATTTTGGAAGGCTGAGAACTTAAAATACAGTTCATGGCCAAGCATTAAGGGTGATTTTTCTTAATTTAATATTGAGAATGTTTCTTTTATTCCAGATTAAACTTTTTCCTGCGTTTCTGATAAGGAAGGAAATTGTTGAAAGATTATGGTAATTCACGTTTCAGACACAGCAGACTATATAATCTCTGGAGATTTTTCTTTAATACAACTTACTTTGAGTTTCGCATTTTCAGGATCAGCCGCATCAACTCGGTATATGCGTTCTGGAGGTGTCCTTTCCAGCACATAGACTGTCACAGCTGCATGGATGTAAGACTAAGTGTTATCTGAATAAAAGCAAAGGGCACAGCAGCAAAGACACTGATGCACTGAAGCTGTCAGGATGTATTACTGCCTGCTGCACCTTCTCACTTCACAAGTGTAATTCCAAAATCATCACAAAGATCACAGATACTCAAAAGATAAAAAGAAACCAATTACATGTCTGTAAACAGGCAACCACCACTGCAGTATGAATTGTCCCTCCAATCTTCCCTTATGGCCTGTCTTGAGATGTTCACAGGTTATGGAGTAAATTGTGCATTTGGGCTACATCTGTGGGGTTTTTTACTATGCAGATGGGAAGCAGTCCTGTGCTAGGTCCTCACCACCATCCCCTTCCTGTCCACACCCTGTGCCCTGCCAGGAGAGCTCAGAGCCTTTCCTCTTCATTTCTGCTTTTCCTTTACACATGTGAGGCAAATAAGTAGCAAATGGTCTGCACTGACTTAAGTGTTTGCTTTACTAAGGCTGATAATTCAGTGCAAGGTACATTTCTTTCAATGCCAGGGATTCTCACAGCTGGGCTATCCCATACTGGACCACTGGCAACAGGCTCATCTCTCCTTGGGCAGAGTAATTAACAGGACAGCAGATCTTCAGATCACATTATTTGCTTTATGCCCTTTTGTGTCTGCTGGATCTGCTCTTTCTGCGCTATTAATTTCCACTGTGACCCCTACTGACTGCTGCTCCTCGTCAGAGCAGTGGGAATCCCAGAGCAGCGTAATGAGTTGTTCCCAGAGGACAACAACATGAATACAGAGTTTAATGAGAGGGAGATGCTTTTTCATAAACAGCAAATGCGCAATTAGTGTCTAATTGTGGCTGGTACTGTAACTAAAGCCACACAGTTAGACAGATCAGACATCTGTGCTCACCAATTTATGGCAGCTCTAGCTGAGAGTTAAGCTGATGCCTTTATTTGTAACAAGCTCCCACGTAGTGTGTTTCATGCTGTGTCGATCCCCCGAAGTGTCAGATTTAATTATTATTAGATTCCAGTGGCACCCATGATATGCAAGGCACCAGCTATACCGAGAAGATGACACAGCCTCTTCCCTCGGGGAAGCTAATTTGCTTTACAAACTAAGTATTGTATGGAATCAGGGATATCAATGTGCTCAGGAGGCATCAGTGAGGAGGGCTGAATGTGAGCAGGCTGCTCTGAGCACATGATGAACACATCCCTGAGCAGCAGGAAAAAGTCAGGATGCAGGTGGGCTTCACCACTCCAGTGTGGTCAGTGCAGACCTGGGGTTTAGCAGCCAGCTCTGAGTACCAGCCACAAAGGGATCACAGTCTGGCATTTTCAGATTTTCTAAAACTGAGTATTGAAGGAGGCTAGGCCATACAGTGCTGATAGGACAGCAAGTCTTCAAACAGGCTCTCAGTCCTTTATGGAGTGAACTGAATTGTTCTGTCTGCATGTGAGCACACAATAAACAAATCATTATATTCTGATGCATCTGGTACAATTTTTGCAGGTCTTCTTCATTAGTAAATAAGCAAGATAAAATCTCAGGGAGTAGGACAGTTATTTCCCATCCTCTCTGTCAATGGCAGTGTCACTCACATCAGGTACAGCACAGCTTGCAAAGCCTGCACTGGCCACAGCTGCAGTCCAGGCTCTCCAGCCTCATTCCTAAGGCTCCTGCACATTCCTCCCCCTTGCACCTTTACCCCTGGCCTAAAAGTCAACATGGTTGACATCAACTGCCCCATGTAGGAGACAGAACTCTCTGCCTCTTTCCATTTGTAACACCATAGATCACAGTCTCTGAGGCCTCACTCTTAAGACTGATTTCCAACTTAATTTCTCATGTGAAGGTGCAAATGCAATATGCAGATATAAAACATCTGCAAAGGAAGGTTTTTGTGGTTTTTCCACAGAAATTCTTGCACATACAATATGCACTTGTTGAAATTTATCTTGCTTGTCCAAATCAGTCCAGTTTTCAACAAACTACATACTCAATGGCTACAATCCCAGAAAACTCCAATTTTCTAATTTAAAAATATGCATTTAATGGTTTTGGTTTTCCTCTCAATTCTTCAGCAGCTTCAAAATGGCTAAAGAATTTTGTTTTAATTTCAAGAAAAATTTGGCATATCCAGAGATGAAGCATACCAACTCTTTGTGTAAAACAAAGCTCTAATAAAAAGAGTGTCCTGTTCCTTCCTTGTTTTCCTAAAGGAAAATGTCTAGACTACCTTACAGGTAGACAACAGGCACTTTATGAGCTCAATTTTTTTTAAGCTGATGGCATCTTTTCAAGTATTGTTCTTTTCAAATTCTACCATTATCTTACTTTGAATTGCCATATTTCCTCGAAATACAGGATGTTCATTTTTGTCTGTTACTTGAATAGTCAATATGTTAAGGTCAGTTCTTCCAGTTGCATCTTCAACAAAAATCTCCAAATCAAAACTCTTTGGCATAGTTTCATAATCTAGGACAGGGTTTCCAGTGGTAACAACCTGAAAATAAATGATTATTTTTAGCACATGATGCGAGAGATGAAACTTGCAGTCCAAATGAGCGAATAAAAAAAAAGAGACACTTTCAATCTGTAAAGAGTGAGTGTTTAAGATAATCTTTTACTTGTTGGCACATTTCTCATCAGTGGCAAAAATGTGACAGAAACAGACTAAAGAGACCAAAATGTTATGTGGCTTCATGGAGCAATTCAAAGATCTTTTGTGTGAGGAGCAGTTTGAGGAGGAGATAGCCCTGAAGAAGCTGCCCTGCCTCACAGCTTTTTCTTCGAGTTCAGGACTACGTCTTGCAGGTATGTGTCTGTTTCAAGTGTTTTCCTTTCCACATCATGCTCCAGGAGCATTCAAGGTGTGATGAGACTGAGAATTCAGAGGAAGCCTTGCAAGACAGAAGGGCAGTTTCACTTTTTCTGTGAATTAGGAGGAAGACCTTTTACTTGAAATAAAGAGCATTGTAGGCAGGAGACCATATTGTCTAGCAGCTACCAGAACCTTCCTTGTGTAACCTGCATATGGGAGAAGACTTGCAGGAAAACCAGAGAAGAAGGTAGCTCCATGGGTACATTATCTGAGAGAGGCATCATAATTGTTTGGGGAGAACGCTGAACAAACTGAAAAATTAACATAGGCCTTGAGTTTTGCAAGATTGATAAGGCAAAAATTTGGTCTATTTTGTTTTGGGGATTTTATTTCAAAGGCTTCCAGCTCTGCATATTGCCTCTTAACACAGAATATGTACTAGCACAAGACTGACATTCTATGAAAAAAAGTAAAGTGCAGTCATTCTGGATTTAGGATGAGGCCAGAGCAATAGCAGGATGCTGTTGCCTCAGTCTTCACTGCTGAAACCAATAGGTCTTCCCTTTCTTGGAAAAGAAAGGAAAAGGTGACAGTTAAGCTTTTTGTGTGGCTAACAAACTGTGAAACTTGAACACAGTAGCAGAGTGCTGTGAAACTGGAGAAGGAAAACTGTTGGGGCTCATGAGTGTATGTGACAAGTAGCATGTCAGTGTATTTACAATACTGCAGAATAAAGGAGGCTGAAGAGCATGCACAAGGAAAACAATGGAATAAATCCTTTGAGATGAGATGCTGTGGGCCAAAGGACAAACACAAAAGTGATGTCAGCACAGTTAGAAGACAGAAGTCAAAATAGAGACAAATAACAAAGAGTTGGAGGGGAGTGAAGAGAAGCACAAATGTTTGGTGCCTTCTGGTACATAAAACAGCTTCTGTCTGGAACCTCATGGATCTTTTTGTTACAATACTGCAAGAGAAAATAACTGTGTCCTGGATGGTCTCCTCTCCTCCTACTGTACAGATACAAGTTTCCCATAAAAGTGATGCTAACACAGAAGAAACATTCTAAAAAGATTGTCACAACAGTGGCAAGCTTTATGTTCAAAATGAATATTTGATGGAGATCTAAATACTGTAAACACATACAATGAATTCATCATTTTAAAGTGTCCAGGTCTAAGCAGAAGTTATGTGTTCTGGAGATCATCCCTCCGATTCACAGCCAAATACTTTCCTTGGTGCTGTAACTACAGCCAGACTAAATGTGTCTAAATACACATCTTCCACCCTCCTTTATAAAGGCCTTAGAAGTGAAGATGTGAATCTTAATGGTCTCTTTCTACGTTGCCTTTGAACCTTTTTGGGTTCAGCCCACTGGTGTAGGCTGTGAGCCAGAATTCACCTTTCCTTCAGGTAGGAGCAAAACATACTGATAAAGGCAGGACTGCACACAATTGAAGCAACTGTAAGCTTCATGAAAGGGGATCTAGAGTCACCCCTAAACTGTCTATCACTCATTTCACATGAGAATTTCACTGCTTCTTACTCCACCACCAATATGTTCAGACAGCACCACCAAGAGCACCCAGGTAGTTTCAAGCATCAGCAGATTTTTGTGCATTCCATGCATCTTCTGCTCTTGAGAACCTTCAAACAGGAGCAAGGTGAGGAGGAAGGGACAGGACTGAGATCTCAGAAACTGTTACTTTCTCAGAAGTCTCAGAATATACCAAGAAATGTGATATTGTTTTCTTCTGCTGCAACAGGACTAAATGTGCTTCATAAATACTGAAGAGCCTGTCCTAGCAGGTACTTAGTAATCTCATAATTCATTCATTAAATACTGCCTTTTTCTGTATCTTAACAAAGATTTTATGGTAGCAGGTAGAGCTGAGGTGTCTGGTTTTGGATCACATAACTTTTGTGAAATACTGTACAGATCTGCTACAACATAGCATAAGTAATTAAAAGTAGCAATCCTCATCAAATAAATTAACTGAGAACAACCATGTATTTATCCTTGCTTTATGGGTTGTAATTAGAACTCCTCTTCTAATTTGCAGAATTTGTAAGTAGATTGCTTTATGATTTTTTCATGACTGATATTCATTGGCTCCAACTCTTTGTTCTAGTCCTCCAAGTAACTTAGGAAACATTGAGAAACGCAACAGTTCAAGAAAAACATAGAAAGATTCAGAGGCCATTCTGGTAATGTGACTGTGGTATGAAATGGATAAAAAACTGGCACTTTGGAAGAAGCAGCCTCCAGTCTCCAGCTTTTTTCATCCTTGTGTCACCCTCCACTGTTCTGGAACAATTTCTCTATCACCCTTGCCATGAAAACAACCAAGAAGGACTTTTTGTCTATTATTTTTCCTCCATATTAACTTCTCAGTCCCACTCAATTAGCAGCAACATAAATTCTTGTGCGTCATAACATAAAGATGGCATGGGAGAGGAGCAAGCAGGTATATAAAAGGACTGAGGGTAGTTTTGCACCAGAAGGGATAACTTTAATTCAAAATGCCAAAATGAAGCTTAGGAAGGGATGTATCCATTTCCTTCTGATTGCTATACAGGAGTCAAGGAAAGAGCATGGAGCAGAGTTCAGGGAGGTTTAGGTTAGATATCAGGCAAATGTTTTTCACCCAGAAAGTGGCTAGACACTGGAACAGGCTCCCCAGGGAAGTGGTCACAGCACCAACCCTGGCAGAGTTAAAGAAGTGATTGGACAGTGCTCTCAGGCACATGGAGTGATTCTTGGGGTGTCCTGTATAGAACCAGGAGCTGGATCAGATAATCCTGAAGGAACCCTTCCAACTCATCATATTCCATAATTCTATGATTCTATGATCTCTTCAGCTGACCAGTCCACATGTTTGTACAGTCCCACCGTATGCTTCACAGGTGAAAGATGGCTTTTTTGGGAGGCTTTTTAACCATTTCACTGACCTGGCTGGGAAGCAGTAAAGAGCCATCAGAGCTGGCACATGTGAGCTTTGTACTCTGCTGGGAAGCTGGAGCATGGGAGCCACAGCAGCTCCCTGCAGGCTCATCAAATCCATGAGCCAATACCACCCAGGGCCACAGCCTTTCCTTTCCCAAATTTTCTCCCAGAATCACCAGCAAAGAGAACTAGAAAAGAGCTGTTGTATCAATTCTGTGAAAACCTGAACTTCCTTGGAAACACCAAGAAAAGGATATCAAACCACCTTTTTAAGACTCTGCACCATTTCTCTCTGTATCTATTAAAGACATCCTTCAGTGTCACTGCTCAGGCTCAGACATACAAGCAAGTTGCAATGGGATGACAAGTTATCATGCGTCTGAACACTCATTGCCTGTGACAAATGTGAACTAATGCTTGCTGATTTATTCAACAATGAAAATCAGCCTGAAGTAATGGAAATTGCTCTGCATTTGCCATAAGACAACAGTGTGCAAAGGATAGAGACACGTCGCAGATGTGTGGAAAGGTGATAACTTCTATGTCAAGATGACTTCCTCATGTGTCACAACCTTTGTTCAGAATTAAAAATTACTTTGATCTAATTCAGCTTCATTTATTTTGGAAGTGAGACAAATTAATTTTAATTCTTGGTGAGAGTGGCCAAACAGAAGCTGTATGTGGATTAAACTAAGGCACTTCAATTTCACAGTGACTTCATACATATTAAGCTGAAAAACTTTGGATAAAACCTCAAAACAGAAGCAGATTCTCCATGTTCTTCTTTACCTCTTATTTTCTAAAAATCACATTTTTTCTATCATGGAATTAATGGAATTATTGTGATGAGTGATTTTTCCTAGATGCAATTAAAAATCATAATTACTATTGCTATTCATCTGTCATATCAATTACTGCATTTTTGAATACCACCACAGTCTGCATTTAAAATTCTTTTCTGATTAAAAGATGAGACATTGTGTACTGTCAGTGCTCAGTAATCCAAGGAAACCTCAGCCTACAACTGAAAATTACTCAAACTTAAAACTCACCCTGAATTCAAGATCTCCTTTTGGTTCAATTTCAAAAGCTTCTGTGAGTGGATTTGAATTTACTATGGTAGGAAGAATTGCAACACCTTCAGAAGCCAATGGAGAAACAGTCACATTAAAGCTATAGACTGAAACACCAGCTGCTGAGTTTTCTTCAATAGTGCTTGTTGCAGGTAAGCCCTTAAGCAACTGGGATCTCTTTCCTGCAGATGAAAATGAACATAAAATTACTTTAGCTAACAAGTACACAGCTTTTGTCAAGAGCTGCCATTAAGGAACACAAAATGCCCTGACTTTCTTTTTACCTATGAAAGGGGGTCATGCAATAGGAAATCCAGTGTTAATGGCAAAAGAATCCATCTTTTCTGTAATTCAGTCCTACAGTGTTGTCATCTAGAGTGGTCATTGTTAAAGTATTATTTTACTGCATCATTTGCCTTCATATATATCTTTATACAGAAGCAAAGAAGCCCTAAATGTTTCTATTTTTTCATTTTGCCCACTAATTAGTGCCTCTGTTCACTGTTACATCAAGAAGTACCTTGAATCACACAGACCCTAATACTAAAGAAACAATGGATTTTTGCAGCCTACACTATCTGCAGCACCTATTTCCATTTTCCCTCTTCTAATTCTTTCTATGGCAGCTGTGTGCAAGCCTGGCTCTTGAGTAGTGTGAGTTCATAATAATTTCATGGGTGGTACTGTCATGTCTCCTGCTTTGAGCAAGGAGGAGTCTTTGGAGAAGATGCAGGCTCACAAAAGCACCATGGTTCAAACCTGCATGGGAGCTGCACATGCTGGTGAGGCATCCAACAGATTTGCACAAGCTCCTTGTTTGTCCAGACCTCTGGACTCCCCAACAAAACTTTTTGCTTTCTCTGTCATTTAGCTTCTAGTTTTTGGTATTTTTGACAAAGGCCTGTTGTGCTTCATCTTATGAAGAGTGTCTAGAAAACTTTAATCAGGACTGCTTTTGATGCCCTGAAACAACACTTCAGTAATCTCACATCCCTGAGCCAGCAATGTACCTCAACACCGGACTGTGGCAGGGCTGACTGTTGCTTGGGGATGGATGCTTCACTGGCTCATCCAAAACACTCTCCAAGAAAGCTGGCTGCATTCAGCCAAAGTTTCTGCACACTCTGTGCCAAGAGGGAGACAGATAGTGCCCACTCAAGGGTCTGGACAGGCTCTCCATACACCAGCAATTACTGTAGCAAAAGCCCCATGAAGTCTATTTTTTTTTTTTTTTATTTTGCTGCATAGTGCAAGGTGAAAAGTTGCTAGAGGAGCTAGTCTGAGACCATTAGAGCTGCCCAAGGGCCCCCCCCACAGCTGCATGGAGATTCTCCTGCTCTCACACTGCAGATACAGCAGGTCCATGGGTCACTGATCCAGCTGGGATTACTCTGGCATTTATGGAAAAAATTACATGGGAGATACTCTACAGGTACAGGGTGGGATGTGGGACACTGTGAGGTGGGAACTGCCTGAAAGAGTGAATCTGAACAGGTCTGAGTTCAGCTGAGCTGTTACTGATTTATGTCAGCAGGAGCAAGATACAGTGAAGGACTAATTTTTATTATTGTTATTACAAATTCTGGAAAACATCATCAACAAAAAATCACCCATGCAAATGAGGCTGGGCTGAGAGGGGCTTCTGGAAATACAGTTCAATAAGTGGAGCTGAACTTCAAATGTAATCTCCTGTGGACAGCACTTGATGAATTCAGCTTACTCATCAAGCCACAGTTCATTAATGGAAACAATTTATAAAAACAATGGAATAATTTACAGTATTTAGAAATGTAGAAAGGAGTTGCTATTTTTGTATTATGTCCAAAGATTGCATTGGCTGTTTATTCAGAATTTGTCTTTCTAAATCAAAAGTTCTAACCTCTTGCTCTTTATTTTAACTGAAATTTTAGGTGCTGCATATGAATGGCTTCTTCTTTTTCTAACCAATTTTACAAAAACTCTCCTTCCATATTCACAAATCCTTGCTTACCTCTTTACTGTGCAGAACAAAATATTTCTGAACATTATTTATCAGAATTATCAATGACAATCTTTGACAAATGATGAGTCCAAGACAAAGCAATAATGAGATTATTTTGGAGAAGTTTATGTATATTTAAGACTTATTTATCTGTGATGCGCCAGTCTTTAGAGTGTGCTTGAGTAACACCTTCAAGATTTTCTCTATCCACAACCATGCAGGTCAGAAAAATGCTATTTTTCAAAGAAAGCTGAAAGTGGCAGGCAGTGTCCTAATCACAGTTTTGGGAACATCAGGAAAACCAATGAATACTGCCAGGTTCCTGAGGGATGGCAGAACTCCTACAGTTCCTTGAGAGCAAAATGACCCTACCTGAGCAGGTAGCTTACAGCAACACCAGTGCTTCGTGTGCCACGCAGTCAGTTTGAAGATCTACTAAGTTGCTAATGTACAAATACTCATATTAGCAAATCTCCCATGTATTTACACTGATCAAAGTTAGTTATGTTATACTACAAATATTGTCCACAACTTTCTTTCTGTTTGGCCCTATTTGGTTGATTATTTTACTTTATCAAAGAGAAATGTTATCAATATCTAAAAGGAGGATATTGGAGAGTAACTACTAGTTGTTTCTTGGAGAGCTGACCTCCTTTCCCACTCCAGTGCTGTCACACTGAGCAGTGGCTATTAGAAATGAAGTGCCTCAGCCAAAAAAGAGTTTTAGCAAAGAGTCATCTTCTCTTCATTATACTGCTGTAACCACAGAGCCCAATCTATTTCAGTAGGAAAATAATTGTTACTTGATTTTTCCCATCTGTGTCTGATCCCTAAATATGTATTATAAAGTTCCCTAGAGAAAGTATAACAGCCAACAGTGTTCTAATTTTAGCAACATAATGAAATCATGTTCTTACCAGACACTACTCCCAGCAAAATTAGGAAAAGGAGCATGCTCTTCATTATCTTTATGACCCTGTCCTTCATGTTCCCAGGATGCAAACTGAAAGAAGATCACAGTATGTTTTCCCCAGTTTACATCAGCTCCACCTAAATTCTTCCTCTTTTTCATGTTGTGCAGTGAGAAATTAAACAAAGGACCCATGTCTCTAAGGGAGTTTCCAAACACTGTCAGCTTGTTTGCTTGTCAGGGAACTGCTCCTTGCTGACACTTCACTCACAGCCCTGGTCTGTACTTGGGAAAACAGTCATTAATTGTCCTTTCACTATAATCATCTTATTCAATGGAGCATTATGAAGAGAATCTAGTATGTTTTAAATCTGGAAATACCATGCTGCTTTCACCACACTGGCAATGAGGTGCTCTCTTCACTCACCAGAATCAAATACTCATGGTTTTTTTACCCAAACCAAGAACCTGAAGTTTTCTTATTTTTCTGACTACCAGAGAATCACTCAGAACACACATACCATATACTTGGAGGTGAGGCATGTGTACATGATGAAGTTTGTACATGATGCAGCTTTGCTGTAGCTGTCTCAGGAACACCATGGGCCCCCACAGAAGTGCACTGGTTCCCTTAGACTAGGCATTTAACTTGCTAGCCCACAATACAACTAACTTTTTTTTTTTTAAACTAAGGACAGTTCTAGTGTTATTTCATGGAACATAGGAGAGAAGTGACATGAATACTGGAACTGGGTGCAATATAGGTGCATTAGAATTGACTCATAGAATAATTTAGCCTGGAAGGAACCTCTGGAGGTCACCTAGTCAAATATCCTGCTCAAAGCAGGCTTAATTAAATCAGGCTTAATTAAATCAGGCTGCTCAGGGATTCATCTAGTTGATTCTCAACACCTCTGCACAAACTTAGCAGCTCTGCTAAGAAGCAGAATTTTGAGATTCAGATTTAACACAGCTGTGGAGAAACCTGACTGATTTGTGATCTAAGCTGGCATCTCTAGATGTGGTTTGACCTCTGTGGTTGTCCCTCTGAAAGCTGACAGTAGCTCAGAAAGTTCTGTCCCTTGCTTCTGTGTTTGGTGTAGCATGAGCATGTTAATTGAACCTGTTGAACATGAGCAGCCAGTTTAACACCAGGGCAGGCACTGCCTGTGCCTGCTGCATTCACACCTCAGGCTGTGGTACCTATGTGGCCCAGAGAATTCTGCTGACACAATGGACCTGGAAAAGATGCATCAGTAAAGCCCACTGATTGGAACTGAACCATACTTACATGTCACATACTGATTTGAGGAATCTTGAGAAATTTTTATGGCTTAGAAGCACTATTTTAAAGTGCTTCTAAGACCTTGTAACTGTTTAAAGTGGATGTGGTCACACAGTACCATTTGGGAGCACAACTTGTAGTACCAAGGAAGCTGATCTTCCTTTGTCCCAGGAAATGTGTGCCTAGACTTCACATTAATAAAAAAAGTGCATGGAAAATCTCATTCACAAATTACCTAGTTAAGCTGATAATAATGTAAATATATTTATTTTGTCAAAAAATTCTAACCTGTCCCTTTACCTACCAGATCATTGCCCATCCCTTCATATGCATTTCCTGAGTTCACAAAGAAGCTTTTGGTGTGACTGGACACCTCACAAAGATGAGGTCTTGAATTAGGCTTGTACAATGTGATGTCTTGTGCACTGATCTTCTACTAATTACCAGGACACTTATAAACTGCTGCTAGCTTTATTCCCTCCTTTTAGTTGTAATGTGTAACCTATCCCATTATAAGGCTGTTTCTTTAAGTCTTGAAAAAACTATAGAGACATCTGGGACAAGTTTCAAAGTCTTTCAGATATATTTCTAAGTTTTCCCCATTTAACAAGGGATAGGACTGATTCCATCCTATGCTCTGGATAGACAAGCCTTCTCCAGAACTCAGAGGTCACAATTTTATCCTTTATTTTCTTTCTTTTCTTCTTAGGCTGGGGTTTGATGGGGAGGAGGGAGATTTGGTTTTGGTATGGCTTGAGGTGTTTTTTGTTCCTATAAATATATTTTTCTTCTTTGTTTTGGTCCTCTTTCTGACAATGTACACAGATCTACTTTCAGTGAGGATTCAAAGTCCATAAATTTATGATGCAGACACTATAGAGAGATACAGGAGACATGTATGGAAAAGGCATCAGGAATGTACACATGCTTGAAATGTTATCCTGAGCCCAGCTTCACCTGGGAATGCAATGGGTAATTGTTTCAGGTACTAAGTGAATACCCATGGAGTCGTTAATTTCTGCTTTCCCTCTGGGGCTTTAAGTAGTTCCTGTTAAGCCTCATGGTTCAAGGATGTTGTGAGGAGACTGTAAATGTGACCATGGAGATGAGGGGAGAGCCAAGCAAGCATGCAGGAAGGGGAGTGTGGAGAGCAGCTCACATGGGTGGAGTGAGGGTGAGCAGAAAGGGCTCTGGCTCCTTCTTCCTCCTTGAGTCCCTTCCAGTAGGTCTCATTACTTTCCTTAGATCCCTCATTTCTTATATTCCTCCAGGTGGATTTCTGTGGTTCTCTGTTCAACCTATCAGGTTGTGAGGCATGAAGTGAAAGGGTAGCCAGAATTAAAAGAGAGCCTAGAAAAACAAGTAGAGAAAAGCATACAAGCTGGTTAGGAACAGGTGAATTAGGAAAAGGTGAGCAAGGCAGAAATTCACTGGCAAGTCTAGCAACAGCAGCACTTACACTGCAAGGAGGTCAGGAATGAGCTTCCTGGGAATATAAAGCAACTAGATGAAGAGAGGTCAAGGCAGCACAAGCAAGAATACAACTAGGGAGTTTTCAGGCAAAATAGAGGGAAGATTAATTTTGGACAAATGAAGGGGACAAAAAAAATTTTGAAATTCGCTGGTTTTCAAGATTATTTGCAACTTTATTTGGGTGCTTTGGAGCAAAATAAAACGCACTTCTGAAAAAAAATGTCATCTGGATAACGAGGTAAAGTGGAGAATATGAGGAAGATGCAACATCTTTCAAGAGATTAAAGAATCCAGGCTTCAAGGAAAAGATCAACAGGTGGGAGCATGATAGAATGCACTGGTCTGTGCTGAAAACAAGACCCCCCATTACTCCAGCAGTTATACACTCAAGAGATGAAAGCATTTGCCAGAGAAGAAGGAATCCTGAGAGTCTGTCATTTGCAACAAAGAATTTGAGCACTTATTTTAGGACCACTGGAAATATGAAAGGCATTAAGTTAGCAGAGATTGTTCTGATCTTCCCATTCTCTCTGCTTCATCTAGACAAGCGTGATCTGAGACAGACAGATGATTACAAGGACATGAATTCAAGAAAGCTCCAGAGGTACCTGAATGCTCCAAATGTGAAGATCAAGTGACAACAGCAAAGTCACACAGAAACTCCAGAAAAGACAGAGGTCTTAGTCCAACTCCCAAGCTCAATCATGACAACTGTAAGACACCATGACTGCAAAAAACACATGCTAAATATTTTTCTCTTTAAGAAGTTCTTGTGCTGCTTAAAAATATTATATTTTCTTCTGCCTTAACAAAACATGGAAGTCAGTGATAACAAGTTTTAGTATTCATTCACCCAAGCAAAAGTAGATGTTACCAGCAAGTATTCTGTGTTTTGTGATTTGAGATGAATAATGTGTTGTGGCATAGAACATTTGGTGCCTGCAAGAAATTGTGTCACTTGACCATACCAAATATGTTTAACACTTGAATTTTAATCATATCTTCCAAGCCAAGTTCTAGTGTCATTAAAGATACAGTGAAAAATGTGTTGAGGCCAATGAAGTCTTCTTTCTGCACTTACTGGTTATTGGATGAGTGCCTGAACCCATGCAGCAATACTTTGTACCTCATGATATAGCATTTACTGCATATTACACGTTTGTTATTGTAATTCCTTGGCCACCTGAGCTGTTTGGTAAATACATAAACCAGGGTTTGAATAGCAAAAGATGCAAGAGCAACAAGAAAGAATACTCTGGGAAAATATGGGTACACAAACACTAAGGTTTCTATGTACACAGTGTGATGCACTTCATTTAGTCAAGTATTTTATTATATCATCAAGAATTACTTAAACAGGCCTTTGCATCACAAAACATGAAAAACATTCCCTGTTTTATCAGCAAAAGACATTTGATTATTTTTGCAAAAGCAACCTTGCATTTTAGCACACATTAATTATTTTCTATTGACTTTGAAAAAACAACCCACAGAAAAGTGTGCAACTAAAAGAAAAGGGCACGGCTGGGCACAGGGTGAGGGGTCAGGTGGGGTTGGTTCACATGGAGATAGATGGGTTTCTACACATAAGTTCTCCTCCATCCTTTGAACAAGAGGAGTGAGAATAATTCACTACTTCCTAACAGTGTGAAATTTTGTTTGTTTACGGTCTCAAGAACTTTGAGATCTTCAGCTCTGTGGCTCTCCAGGGACCAGAAAAGGGGTGTGGTATGTAAGGAGGGACATTTCACTCTCTACTTTTGTTATAGAGTACTTAATTATTGGAAAATCATTATAATGATTGTGGTCTCACAAAAATCAATGACAAGCCTGGTTTTGAAAGGAACAATTTCAGTAGACCTGGACCTTGATAAAGTGGTACAAATGCAAAATAAATCCTCATCACTCAAAGGAGATGGACAATATTCAGATAGACAATTGCTGGCCCTTTTCCTTGCTGTTCTCGGCTGACTAGAGGAAACCTTTAGAAATATCACACAGGGAAAGGGTTAAATTCATCTGGGTACAGACAGAATTACTTTTTTACAGTTGCTGAGTTTAGATTATGCTGATTTTATATGAGAACAAACATGAGTGGAAAAATAATCCACTTACAACTGACATGAGGCAACATTATATCTGAGTAATGACATGACTGAATCTGCCACCACATTAATACACAAAAGGCAGCAGAAAACCAGTGCAATATTCCAGATGTATATATTTCTTGCCTGTGGATTTGAGCATCAACATCATGGAACAGCCTGAGACCATAAGAGCTTTCTTAATGAAGCAGAAGATCCCACACAGTAAACCTAGTGTCCAATAAATGTTTTGACAGAGAACTATGAAGCTGTAAAGGTAGGTGGATGAACACACAGAGATTTTTAAAAGCCCTGCAGCCCAAACTGAGTTTAGTCACATAAAACCTGGCTGTTATAATATGAGCTACATGGGTGACAACAAGGAAACAAGGTCAGGATGTGTCCCTTTGCTGTGTATGGCTCCCCTGACCATTGCAGGAGCTGAGGGAATATTGCCATCTAGTGCCACGCAGAAATCCAGCTGTCTAAACAGAAAAGAGCCATTTAATTCATGCAGGCAACAGTTACAAAGCATCCTAAAACCCAGGGATATTATGCGCCAGGGACATCATTTTGGTCAGTGTCTTTGCCAGGCTTGCTATTAGAAAAGGTACATTTTCTCCTTTTAAAAAATGACTGTGTTGTGGGAGCTGAGTCACAACACTTTGGAAGAAAGACCCTGTTTAGTTGTTTTGAGGTTGTGAAAAAGTGCAAAATATTCTCATAGCAGTTTAGCAAGTAGCTGCCAGAATTATGGGATGCTGTTGAGAATGGGATTTTTCTTGCCTGTCTTAAATTTACTAAAACACAGACCTGTATATGTCATTGTTCTATGGCCACCTTAGACTTGTTTTGGAAACAAAGAGGCACTACTAGGGCACAACTGGTGTGACCAGCTTTAGCAGTTGCATTTAGGATGGGAAGTGATGTACTTTTGAAACATTTGTTTCTCTGCAGAGACAACAAGGGGAGTTTGGGATGTCTGGTTCTGATGTTTGGAGCCTTTGAACCTTCAGTGCCTGTCTCTCTGGACCATTTTTTAACCAGATAGGCAATAATTTTGAGGACCTGTTGGTGGAAAAATAAATACCACCTTTAGACTTCTAAAGCCCATGATCTCCATTGTGTGATTCTCATGGAGGTTGTGAGGACAGGTGCTCCCACAGAAGCTCCTGCTGGCCTGTACCGGGGCACTCGCTGCTGGGCAGGCGCACGGGCCATGGCACATCTCCCATTCACCCCTGGGTGCAGCAGCTTTATGAACTTCCTCCTGTTGCCATGCCAGAAAGGGCCCTTTGGGGGGACAGAGCAGTTCAGTTCCCTTCAGCAAAAACCCTGCTGGCCCTGAGATGAGGGCGTTTTTAATCAGCACATATGCTTGGATACTTTTAATGAGGCCATCAACTCGCTTATCTGCGCTACCAAATACCTGCCAGATTATAACAATTTTCAGTCATTGCCCATCTGGAGCAGATTCAAACCAGTGGTTGATTTTCAAAAGTGATTTGAAAATCAAAATCAGTAAAGTAATCAAATCTTCCAAATCTGCAAATAATGTCCAGATTTTCAAGCCAGCAACGTCATGTTTATAAATGTTGACTTAAAATTACTTAAATGTCCCACCAGTGCCTCTGAGTTAATTGCCATGTTATTGCTTGTGACTGCGACTTTCCCACTATTTCTGCCCCCTAGTCATGTAAAGGAAAGGATTAAATCACAAAGAATCAGAGTCAATGATATAAAAGAATATTGTTTTTCAACCTGAGAAAGTTTTAGACACACACCACTCCTTTTCTTTTAAATAGCATGAGTGCCAATTAAGCAAGAAGCTGCTAAGTTAATTTTATATATATAAGTATATATGCTTATATTTTTAAATCCATTATTTCACATCAGCAGATATAAATCCCTACATCACATATACATCTTTTCCTTTTCTACACTGATTTTAAATACACTGCAAAAAAAGTGTATCTGAAGTTACCCCGAATGAGGAATTGTTTAGATAATGAAATGTCTCACAATAATAGTACCGTATATAGTTACTGATGTCAAACTCTGCCAGGATTTTTAGGGTTATTTTCTTTGCTTTTGCTCATTTGACAAAGTCCTTAAATGTGGTATTAGAAAAGAAATAGAATATGTGCACTCTCCTGAGTGTCCATAATGTGAATTAAAATTCCATCTAAAAAAGAACCTGAAAAGCAAGGGTTGTAGATTTATAAACATATTTTAAAGCACCTAGAAATGTGACTTTCCAAAGCCCTCACTCTTATCCTCTCAGTTCCCCATAACTAAGTTTGGCTAAAAAAATCTAAGCTAACAGCTTCCAGAAATAAATAGCAAGAAACTGGCAGTAAATTCTGGAACTCCCCCATACCTCTTAGTCCACAGGGACACAGACTGACCTTTCAGATGCAACCCAAACCCAACTGATTTCCTCAGGCTTTTGCCTGACTCAGACAGTTTGGGTGTTCTAGGCAGGCAGGAAAGGATTACTAACATCATCTATATCTTAATTGCTGTATTTAAGAGGCTGACTACTGCTGGATCCAGCACAGAGACAAAGCTCTTATTGACTTCACTGGGATCTGGATCAGTCTTTCAAAGTTTGAAGGAGCTGGGGAAGTGGGAGGAAAGGAGCAGCAGTGGGATGACATGCCAAATCCCTTTAAGAGTCAAGAGGTGAACACCCCAAAATGTCCACACACCCAGCAGTCCAGTTGGATGAAGTCTTAATGCAGAGAAGGGTGATGTCCATTTAACCTGAACATCAGCACCTATGGATCTTTTGTTTCGATCAGCATTAATGGCAAGTGGCAGGGCTTGCCTTTTTTACCTTGCTGATATTTGCAACATCTGAGACTGTTTCCTTGCACAAAATATTTTTCTGGGCATGGACATTTTTCTTGATGAAATCAGACTAAGCTGCACTGTCCACTCAGTTGTGTCACATCAGCCTGGGCTGTCTCAGGCTAATGCACCTACACAAGTGCTGGTGTGGATGCACAGGGAACTGGATCCATGAATTGAGGCTGGATAAGAACTGAGCAAGTGGACGACATGTACAGGAAAAAATGGCCAGGAAATTGGGGTCGGAGCAAAAAAATTCCTGAATGTGCAGTAATGCTGGTCCAGTTTGTGGGATACACCAAAAATGGGGTTTTAAGGGCCCTGAAGCCCCTAATATTGTTGTTGTTTGTGACTACAGAAATTTAGCCTTGTTTCTGCTTTTTTTTTTTTTTTTTAAGTGCTAAACATTATACTGTTACCTTTTTTCTGTTGAATTAAATTCTCTGTGAAATAGCAGAGGGACAGTCACTATGTCCCAGCAAAATTGTTTGTTTGTAGCAAATTATTTTCTATTCTTAAGGAAAAAGAATTTAATCAAGTGTCAGAAACAAATGACATCTTGACAGATTAGCAGGATTGCTGCTGTTAAAATAAATTTGCTGCCAGATTTGTTTACAAAACTTATTTTTTCAGGGATGGGTGAACTTATTGGCATTTGCCAATCTTTTGAATAAATATTGTGGAGGATTTGTAAAATGAGAATTAATTAAAACTTTTCCTGTGAGTGCAAACCAGACATTTTGCTCAGTGTAAATAAATTTCTTGAAAGCTAAATGGAAGACTTTGAAGGAGGTGGGTGGAGAGGCAAGGAAATTTGAGCACTGTCTTTCCTTTTCCAAACAAAATATGGAGTATAACAACTATGACTAATACAGGAATTGTAATTTCTATATCAGATTTTATATATCCATTTTTAACTTCCTTTGCAGTTCTGAATTGACCTCAAGACATTTCACTACAGCTTTCAAGCTTCTCAGAGATTTGTTTATTTTTCTACAAATCTTTTTGGTTTGGCTGCTTCTGTATGATATGTGGCAGAGGTGCTCATTTCTGGATGTGGAGCTTTTTGATACTGGCTCTTATATATGATTTGTGATGCTTTAAGAAGGCCTTTCAGCGTTACCTTGGGTGGTATCACCACCTCAGACGAAGAGATAAGCTTACTGTCATCATCCATTCATTCTGCTGGGGTGAGAGAAAGAATCAGATCATGAAATGCATATCCTAGCCAGGGGGAAAACAAAGACAAGTATTTGCATTCCACCTTTTCATTCACTGCAAGTTGGTTTTATTGGTGGGATTTTAGGTGTTTTACTGTTTTTATGAGTGATCATGACAAAAATATTGTTCATCTATGAAGCAGCAGACAGCACTTCTACTCTTTCATGGATAAAGTCAAGGAAGTGTCACTAAAGAGCCTTAGAATGATTTTTCAGTGACTCCTTTGGAAAGGAAATCCAAAGGTAGATTTTGAACAAAAAGACAAACATTCCTCCCACTTAGATGAAGATTTTGAAGATTTTTCACTTTTTTTTTTTTTTTTTTTTTTTTTCCTGGCCCTAATGTCCCTAACCTAAGAAATTTGTCCTGGACAAAAGCCTTCAGTGCTACAATTTGGAATACATTGTTTCTGACAAAGCCAGGGGCAGATGTCACTCTGGCAAAGGATAGTCTGCAAACAGTAGCAGCAACTCGAGGGACACCGGTACTATCCAGGTTAATTAAGTACACAGGCCATCAGTAAGTCCCACAAATAAATTACAAAACAGTTCATGGATTTCACAGAAGACACAGGAATTTACACCATGCAGTATTCAGGCAAACAGTCTTTCTTAGATTCTTTAAGTATCAAATCAGAAGGATTGATTCTTCCCAGTCACCTTTCCCTAAAAGATTTCCAGCTTTTAAAATTACCATGACTGCTCTTAAAGGTTTGATTAGTTAGAGCTACCACACAGTGCTGCTGTACTAATTAAATTAAACTCCACTGGGTCCATCCTTCCAAAGCCTTGTGCATTTGAGCAGCGTTTCCCACGGTCATATGCAGGGAGCTGCATGTTGGCAGGAGGGATAAGCATCTCTGCTTTAAAGACAGCCTCAAGCTTTTGCTTAAAGAGGCTAACACTGCCACTAACAACTAGGAAATCCTGGCAGATAGTCCACATGAATATCTCTTTCTATATTTGCACAATGTCAAGCACACTATCAGCCCTGAATAAATAATAATCATAGAAACCTGGAGTCAGCCAGGAAATAGCTGTGAACGAGACATTCATATTTTAAAACCTGAAACTGCAATATTATCTTGTTATGACTCTGGGAAAACTATTCTTTTCCTTTTCTCCTCTTGTTTTTTGGTTTGTTTTTTTTTTCCTAGAAAAGAAGAAATGTTCATACTGCTGCTAAAGGTACTTAAAAAACTTTATTTGGCCCTGTATTACAGATTGAAACATCTGAAATGTTCTGCCTGATAAATAGACGAAGAGCAACATAAAGAACAGTGCTGATTTTAAATCCAAATAATTTATTTCTAAGCAAAAAACAAAATTAGAGATGGACTACAACTGCAACTACAAACTGGAATACAACAATAATTACATGGGAGGAAAAAGAAGAGTAGCTGAAAAATGGCTTAACAAGGCAATATTGCTTTTGATAATGTCTTGACAAAGTTGAATTTTTTTCTAAATTTAATTGAAACTCCCTGTTTAAAAGCATTTACATTAGTCATAAATCTTTAAAACAAGGAGCAAAGTTCATGAGGAATTCAGTCTCCATCTCTATAGAAATAATAATGAAAGGCAACTCCCTCTAGTAAAAGTAGTTGAAATTGGTAATTGTCACTTTGTCAGATTCTTGACAAACATTCAGAGTTACTCCTTCTTCACAAAAAGATCATTTATTTCTCCTTTTCTGTTCAGATGTGGGCTCCTATGCAGACTAAGCATGTTTCAAGACTGTATTCTTACAGTTACAGATGAGAAGAAACAGATTCATACTTTAAAATCTGGTTTTATAATTGATGACAGGGATACATGCACAAATTCTTTTTCAGATATTGGTCACCTTTAACAGAAATCCAAAAATATCTGAGATCTGAGGTCTGTCTCAGTATAATCAGATTGCAATTAAGTTAGTCCAGAAGCATTTGTCAGAAGGCATAATGGCAAGGACTATAAAGAAGAAGAATAAAACTGAAAACACAGAATGCCAAAAATCACCATCTGCTGAGATGATGGGAGTATCATGCTCAAAGCTGTTAAGGTGTTACTAGAGCTGTTGTCTGTTACAACACTAAACAGTTAATTGCAGTTCATGGGTTTTAAGTAAAAGGACTGGGGACTGCTTTTTACCATAGCAACCACAAAAAAGAAATCTCTTC